AGGGACTAAACAAGGACCAGACCGGGACTAAACAAGGACTAGACCGGGACTAAACAAGGACTAGACCGGGACTAAACAAGGACTAGACCGGGACTAAACAAGGACTAGACTAAGACTAAACAAGGACCAGACCGGGACTAAACAAGGACCAGATCGGGACTAAACAAGGACTAGACCGGGACTAAACAAGGACTAGACCGGGACTAAACAAGGACTAGACTAGGGACTAAACAAGGACTAACAAGACCGACTAAACAAGGACTAGACCGGACTAGACTAGACGGGACTAAACAAGGACTAGACCGGGACTAAACAAGGACTAGACCGACTAAACAAGGACCTACCGGACTAAACAAGGACTAGACCGGGAACTAAACAAGGACTAGACCGGACTAAACAAGGACTTAGACCGGGACTAAACAAGGACTAGACCAAGACTAAACAAGGACTAGACCAGACCTAAACAAGGACCAGACCGGGACTAAACAAGGACCAAACCGGGACTAAACAAGGACCAAACCGGGACTAAACAAGGATTAGACCGGGACTAAACAAGAACTAGACCGAGACTAAACAAGGACTAGACCGGGACTAAACAAGGACTAGATCGGGACTAAACAAGGACTAGACCGGGACTAAACAAGGACTAGACTAGACTAAACAAGGGACTAAACAAGACGGACTAAACAAGGACTAGACCGGACTAAACAAGGACTAAACAAGGACTAGACCGGGACTAAACAAGGACCAGACCGGGACTAAACAAGGACTAGACTAAAGACTAAACAAGGACCAAGACGGACTAAAACAAGGACCAGACGGGACTAAACAAGGACTAGACGGGACTAAACAAGGACTAGACCGGGACTAAACAAGGACTAGAACCGGGATAAACAAGGACTAGACCGGGACTAAACAAGGACTAGACAAGACTAAACAAGGACTAGACCAAGACTAAACAAGGACTAGACCGGACTAGGACTAAGACCGGGACTAAACAAGGACTAGACCGGGACTAAACAAGGACTAGACCAAGACTAAACAACGGACTAGAGACTAAACAAGGACTAGACCGGGACTAACAAGGACAAGACTAGACCAAGAACTAAACAAGGACTAGACCGGGACTAAACAAGGACTAGGACCGGGACTAAACAAGGACTAGACTAGACGGACTAAGGACTAGACCGGGACTAAACAAGGACTAACCGGACTAAACAAGGACCAGACCGGGACTAAACAAGGACTAGACCGGCTAAACAAGGACCAGACCGAGGACTAAACCAGGACTAGACTAAAACAAGGACCAGACCGGGACTAAACTAACCAGAACTAAACCAGGACCAACTAAGGACTAGACAAGGACTAAACAAGGACTAACCGGGACTAAACAAGGAACCGGGACTAAACAAGGACTAGACCGGGACTAAACAAGGACAGACCGGGACTAAACAAGGACCTAGACCGGGACTAAACAAGGACTAGACCGGGACTAAACAAGGACTAAACAAGACTAAGACTAAACAAGGACCAGACCAAGGACTAAACAAGGACCAGATCGGGACTAAACAGGACAACCTAAAACAAGGACTAGACCGGACTAAACAAGGACTAGACCGGGACTAAACAAGGACTAGACCGGACTAAACAAGGACTAGACCAAGACTAAACAAGGACTAGGACTAAACAAGGACTAGACCGGGACTAAACAAGGACTAAACTAAGGACTAGACCGGGACTAAACAAGGACTAGACCGGGACTAAACAAGGACTAGACCAAGACTAAAACAAGGACTAAACCAGACCGGGACTAAACAAGGACTAGACCGGACTAAACAAGGACTAGACCGGGGACTAGACCGGACAGACTAGGAGACTAAACAAGGACTAGACCGGACTAAACAAGGACTAGACGGGACTAAACAAGGGACCTAACCGGGACTAAACAAGGACTAGACGGGACTAAAACAGGACTAGACCGACACTAAACAAGGACTAGACCGGGACTAAACAAGGACTAGACCGGGACTAAACAAGGACTAGACCAAGACTAAACAAGGACTAGACCGGGACTAAACAAGGACTAGACCGGGACTAAACAAGGACTAGACCGGGACTAAACAAGGACTAGACCGGGACTAAACAAGGACTAGACCAAACAAGGACTAAACAAGGACTAGACCGGGACTAAACAAGGACCAGACCGGACTAAACCAAGGACTAGACCGAGACTAAACAAGGACCAGACCGGGACTAAACAAGGACTAGACCAAGGACTAAACAAGGACTAGACCAAGGACTAAACAAGGACTAGACCAAGACTAAACAAGGACTAGACCGGGACTAAACAAGGACTAGACCGCTAAACAAGGACTAGACCACTAAACAAGGACTAGACCGGGACTAAACAAGGACTAGACCGCGGGACTAAAAAACAAGGATTAGACCGGGACTAAACAAGGACTAGACCGACTAAACAGACTAAACAAGGACTAGACCGGGACTAAACAAGGACTAGACAAAGACTAAACAAGGACTAGACCGGGACTAAAACAAGGGACTAGACCGGACTAAACAAGGACTAGACCGGGACTAAACAAGGACTAGACTAAGACTAAACAAGGACCAGACCGGGACTAAACAAGGACTAGACAAGGGACTAAACAAGACTAGAACCGGGAACTAAACAAGGACTAGACCGGGACTAAACAAGGACTAGACTAAGACTAAAAGACAGGACTAGACCGGGACTAAACAAGGACAGACCGGGACTAAACCGGACTAAACAAGGACTAGACTAAGACTAAACAAGGACCAGACCGGGACTAAACAAGGACTAACCGGGACTAAACAAGGACTAGACCGGGACTAAACAAGGACTAGGGACAAGGACAGACCAAGACTAAACAAGGACTAGACCGGGACTAAACAAGGACCAGACCGGGACTAAACCAGGACCAGACCGAGACTAAACAAGGACCAGACCGGGACTAAACAAGGACTAGACCAAGACTAACAAGGACTAGACCAAGACTAAACAAGGACTAGACCAAGGACTAGACCGGGACTAAACAAGGACTAGACCAAGGGACAGACCGGGACTAAAAACAAGGACTAGACCAAGACTAAACAAGGACTAGACCAAAGACTAAACAAGGACTAGACCGGGACTAAAACAAGGACTAGACCGAAGACTAAACAAGGACTAGACCGGACTAAAAACAAGGACTAGACCGGGACTAAACAAGGACTAGACCGGGACTAAACAAGGATTAGACCGGGACTAAACAAGGACTAGACCAAGACTAAACAAGGACTAGACCGGGACTAAACAAGGACTAGACCAAGACTAAACAAGGACTAGACCGGGACTAAACAAGGACTAGACCGGGACTAAACAAGGATTAGACCGGGACTAAACAGACTAGAAAGACTAAACAAGGACTAGACCAAGACTAAACAGGACTAGACCGGACTAAACAAGGACTTAACGGGACTAAACAAGGACTAGACCGGGACTAAAACAAGGACTAGACCGGGACTAAACAAGGACTAGACCGGGACTAAACAAGGACTAGACCAAGACTAAACAAGGACCAGACCGGGACTAAAACAAGGATTAGACAGGACCAGACCGGGACTAAACAAGGACTAGACCGGACTAAGACTAAAACAAGGACTAGACCGGGACTAAACAAGGACTAGATCGGGACTAAACAAGGACTAGACCGGGACTAAACAAGGACTAGACTAAGACTAAACAAGGACCAGACCGGGACTAAACAAGGACCAGACCGGGACTAAACAAGGACTAGACCGGGACTAAACAAGGACTAAGACTAAACAAGGACAAGACAAGGACTAAACAAGGACCAGACCGGGACTAAACAAGGAGACCGGGACTAAACAAGGACCAGACTAAACAAGGACTAGACCGGGACTAAACAAGGACCAGACCGAGACTAAACAAGGACTAGACCGGGACTAAACAAGGACCAGACCGGGACTAAACAAGGACCAGACCGAGACTAAACAAGGACTAGACCGGGACTAAACAAGGACTAGACCGGGACTAAACAAGGACTAGACCAGGACTAAACAAGGACTAGACCGGGACTAAACAAGGATTAGACCGGGACTAAACAAGAACTAGACCGAGACTAAACAAGGACTAGACCGGGACTAAACAAGGACCAGACCGAGACTAAACCAGGACCAGACCGGGACTAAACAAGGACCAGACCGGGACTAAACAAGGACCAGACCGGGACTAAACAAGGACCAGACCGGAACCAAACCAGGGCTACACCGGGACTAAACAAGGACTAGACCCTGAATAGACCAAGACTAAACCACGACTAGACTGGGATTAGACCGGAACCAAACCAGGACTAGACTGGGACTAAACCAGGACTGATCCAGTGTCATTAGTGGAGTATAAATATAAACTCGCTCCAGTCGTCGAGTCGATTTCCTCCGCTGATGTTTTATGTGATAAAAACACTAAAGTCTCAGTCTGGTCTGACATTGTTTCGGGAAAAGTCCAGGACCGGGCTCTTGTTTCCAGGGCAACGGACGCGCGTCAAGTATTTTTGTCCCGTTCGTCCACGGCGTCAAAGACACGAGCGTCAGGGGCGTCTGAACTCAAATGCAAAGGCTCCAAATAGAAACGTCAAGGTGTTTTTTGACGCTTTTGGTGTGAACGAACCTTTAGAGATAGAGTGAGGAGCTCAGTCACACGGGAGGAGGCCCCGGGGAAGACCCAGGACACACTGGAGGGACGATGTCTCTGGACTGGCCTGGGAACACCTCGGAAAAATGTCTGGGGTGTAGGAAGTCCCTGCTTAGACTGATGCCCCCAGGATAAGCGGAAGAAAATGGATGGATGGGACTTCTGGGTCAAAGTCGTGTCTGTATCGGTCTCTTTAAGATCAACTATGGCCAGGACATTTGAGTTTCCGGTTTGGACTAACGGTGCAGAAGAGTCAGACGCAGGTGACCTCTCAGCCCCTGCCCCGACCTGACACCGCCGGGCACCGCCACGTCCAGCTGTGCATGATCCTGGGGGTTTTATTTCAACATTTTGTCCCTAAATCCAAATCTGAACATTAATAACAGACCGATCAGACGCCTTCTTTCCCCGAGGTCAGTCCCGCTCGAGTTAGCAACAGGTTTTTATTTTCAGAAGAGGCGTTACTTCTAACGGCGTCGCTCCTGATTGGCTCTTTGGTCACTACGGCTACGTTCAGACTGCAGGACTTAACGCTCAATTCAGATTTTTTTGTGAAATCCGATGTTTTTTCGAGGTCGTTCACATTTCCAGTTAAATGTGACTTGTATGTGACTCCAGTGTGAACATTAAACGGCCCAAAAGTGTCCCACATGTGACACTGGAGACACGACGACGTCAACCGCAGCGAGCGTCTCTGTGTTTACACAAGTTGTCCAAACATGGACGCAGCATCGAGCACCTGGAGATTTTAAAGTTCCTCTCGTACCGGAGCCACAACATGAACAACTGACTTGTTTTAAGGAGGAGATTGAGAAGGACCAGGTTTTTGGTCGTGGTGTTTTTGTGGGACAGAACGTTGAAAGGAACGTGTGGATGTGGAGACGGAGCCAAGAGTGGTGGGACAGTGATTTAAAATTTTCGTCTGACGAGAAGAACGTTTGTGTCTTGTTGATAACGTGTAGGTGGATGAATGCGCTTTGGCCGTTCACACTGAAGTCACATGTTAAAGATCAGATATGTATCGGTTTTAGGAGCACATATCCAAGTGTCCTGGGTCACATTTGAAAAAATCAGATCTGTGTGGTTCAGACTGTCATTTAAAGATCAGATACAGGAACATAGAGGCCAAAAAAATCAGATTTTGGTCACTTCAGGCTGCAGTCTGAACAGAGCCTCTGATACTTGCGTTTGGAATTCCAAATGTGAAACTTGGGTCCAGATTATCCGCTATGACTACAAGAAATGGTAGAAATGCGCAGGAAGTTTTAAGGAACGTGTAAAATCCCTCAGTGGTCCAGGTAGAATCCACGACAAAGGAGAAGTTTGTTTATTTTGGTCGAAGAAACAGTTTCAGTAACAGTTCTCTGCTTGAACCTTGGTCCACTTCACAAACTACACTTTAACGCAGACATTCAGTTTCCTGTCACAGTTTTCCCGTCAGTTCTCTTACTGATCCTGCGTGTGTCCTTGGCTCTGCAGGAGACCGTCAGGACGTGCTGTATCCGTTCGGACCTGAGCACCGGGACCTGGAAACCCCGAAGATGGACGACGGAAGCTCCCCTGAAATCACTCTCCTCGTGCCTTTTGTGTTCTTCAACATCCCGTACCGCACCGCCTACGTAAGCCGCCCGGGGGAGCGCTCCGTTTTGTTACTTAGAATCAGGGTCTGTCACCTGCTCGTTTCCATGGAGACGTCACTGCTCCTTCTGGAATGTTCCACAGTGTGACTTTAAACAGCTCGACTTTACATTTATTCAATCACAGGAGGATTTACGGGTCAAAAATCCCTCGAAAAACAAACAGACATAGTGACTGTGAGCGGGGTCGCCTCTCCACAGATCTGACCTGGAACTTGGTCTAGTTTGGTCTCCATGAAGATAGAAAGGTTTAATGCCATAGTGTGGAACATTCCAGACAAAGCAACAACATCTCCTCATAGAAAAGTGTTTGACAGACGCGCCACCAGAAAAGTTATACAGTGCAGCTTTAAGTAAACTACAGACACCTGAGGTTTATAGCACAGCACTTATGTTTATTTTGTTATGGTCCAGAAGATAATTTGTTCCATCAGATTCTAAAAGGTGATCTCTCCCTTTGGTCTTTCTGTTTGGTCCCTCTGTTTGGTCCCCCTCTTTGATCCCTCCCTGTGATCCCTCCCTTTGGTCCCTCCCTTTGATCTCTCACTTTGGTCCCTCTCTTTTTTGGTCCCTCTTTTCTTTTTGGCCCCTCCCTTTTGTCTCTCCCTTTGGTCTCTCCTTTTGGTCTCTCCATTTTCTCTTTCCAATTGGTCTCTTCCTTTTGCCCCTCCCCTTTGTCTTTCCCTTTGGTTTCTCCATTTGGTCCCTCCCTTTGGTTTCTCCTTTTGGTCTCTTCATTTGGTCTCTCCCTTTGGTCCCTCCTTTTTGTTTCTCCCCTTGGTCCCTCCTTTTGGTTTCTCCCTTTGGTCCCTCCTTTTTGTTTCTCCCCTTGGTCCCTCCTTTTGGTCTCTCTCTTTGGACTCTCCCTTTGGTCCTTCCCTTTTGTTCCACCCTTTGATCCTTCCCTTCGGTCCCTTCCTTTTGTCCCTCTCTTTGCTCTCTTCCTTTTCTTCCCTCCCCTTTGGTCCCTCCATTTGCTCCCTCACTTTGGTCTCTTCCTTTGGTCCTTCCCTTCTGTCTCACCCTTTGGTCTCTCTGTTTGGTCCCTCTTTTCGGTCCCTCCCTTTGATCTCTCACTTTGGTCCCTCTTTTTTTTGGTCCATCTCTTTTATCCCTCCCTGTTGGTCTCTCCATTTGGTCCCACCTTTTTTGGTCCCCTCCCTTCGGCGCCTCCCTTTAATCCCTCCTTTTGGTCCCTCCCCCTCTCTTGGTCCCTCCCTTTGTTCCCTGCCTATGTTCCCTCCCTTTGGTCCCCCCCTTTGGTCTCTCCATTTGGTCCCTCCCTCTGTTTTTTCCATTTGATCTCTCCTTTTGGTCTCTTCCATTTGGTCCCTCCCTTTGTTTTTTTTCCATTTGATCTCTCCTTTTGGTCTCTCCATTTGGTCCCCCCTTTGTTTTTTTTTCCATTTGTCTCCATTTTGGTCTCTCTTTTTTGGTCCCCTCTTTTGTTTTCTCCCTTTGGTCCCTCTTTTTGTTCTCTCTGGTCCTTTTGGTCTCTCCCTTTGGTCCCTCCTTTGTCCTCCCTTTCTCCCTTTTGCTCCCTCCCTTTGGTCTCTTCCTTTGGTCCTGCCCTTCTGTCTCACCCTTTGGTCTCTCTGTTTGGTCCCTCTTTTTGGTCCCTCCCTTTGATCTCTCACTTTGGTCCCTCTTTTTGTTCCATCTCTTTTACCCCTCCCTTTGGTCTCTCCATTTGGTCCCTCCTTTTGGTCCGTCCCTTTTGTTCCGTCCCTTTGTTCCCGCAGGTGAACAACAACGGGGTGATCTCCTTTAACGTGCAGGTGAGTCAGTTCACCCCGGAGGCCTTCCCGTTGAGCGACAGCCGTTCGTTCATCGCTCCCCTTTGGGCCGACGTCCACAACGGGATCCGGGGCGACGTTTACTACAGGGAGACGACGGAGGCCGAGGTGCTGGACCGAGCCTCACAGGACGTCAGGAAATACTTCAAAAACCTGCCGGGCTTCAGCGCCTCCTGGGTCTTTATCGCCACCTGGCACCAGGTCACGTTCTACGGAGGGAGTCAGACCACACCGGTGAGACTAGACCGGGACTAGACCGGGACCGGGACTAGACCGGGACTAGACCGGTAGACCGGACTAGACCGGGACCGGGACTAGACCGGGACTAGACCGGGACTAGACCGGGAACTAGACCGGGACTAGACCGGGACTAGACCGGGACTAGACCGGGACTAGACTAGACCGGGACTAGACCGGGACTAGACCGGTGAGACTAGACCGGGACTAGACCGGGACCGGGACTAGACCGGGACTAGACCGGGACTAGACCGGTGAGACTAGACCGGTGAGACTAGACCGGGACTAGACCGGGACTAGACCGGTGAGACTAGACCGGGACTAGACCGGGACCGGGACTAGACCGGGACTAGACCGGGACTAGACCGGGACTAGACCGACTAGACCGGGACTAGACCGGGACTAGACCGGGACTAGACCGGGACTAGACCGGACTAGACCGGACTAGACCGGGACTACTAGACCGGGACTAGACCTAGACCGGGACTAGACCGGGACTAGACCGGTAGAGACTAGACCGGACTAGACCGGTAGACCGGACTAGACCGGACTAGACCGGGACTAGACCGGGACTAGACCGGGACTAGACCGGGACTAGACCGGGACTAGACTAGACCGGGACTAGACGGGACTAGACCGGGACTAGACTAGACCGGGACTAGACCGGGGACCGGGACTAGACCAGGACCGGGGACTAGACCGGGACTAGACCGGTGAGACTAGACCGGGACTAGACCGGGACCAGGACTAGACCGGGACTAGACCGGGACCGGACTAGACCGGGACTAGACCAGGACTAGACCGGGACTAGACCAGGACTAGACCGGTGAGACTAGACCGGGACTAGACCGGGACCGGGACTAGACCGGGACTAGACCAGGACTAGACCAGGACTAGACCAGGACTAGACCGGGACTAGACCGGAGACTAGACCGGGACTAGACTAGACCGGACTAGACCGGGACTAGACCGGACTAGACCAGGACCGGGACTAGACCGGGACTAGACCGGGACTAGACCGGGACTAGACCAGGACCGGGACTAGACCGGGACTAGACCGGGACTAGACCAGGACCGGGACTAGACCGGGACCAGGACTAGACCGGGACTAGACCGGGACTAGACCGGGACTAGACCGGTGAGACTAGACCGGGACTAGACCGGTGAGACTAGACCGGGACTAGACCGGGACCGGGACTAGACCGGGACTAGACCGGGACTAGACCAGGACCGGGACTAGACCGGGACCAGGACTAGACCGGGACTAGACCGGGACTAGACCGGGACTAGACCGGGACCGGACTAGACCGGGACCGGGACTAGACCAGGACTAGACCGGGACTAGACCAGGACTAGACCAGGACTAGACCGGGGACTAGACCGGGACTAGACCGGGACTAGACCGGGACGGGACTAGACCGGGACTAGACCGGACTAGACCAGGGACTAGACCGGGACTAGACCAGGACTAGACCAGGACTAGACCGGGACTAGACCAGGACTAGACCAGGACTAGACCAGGACTAGACCGGGACTAGACCGGGACTAGACCAGGACCGGGACTAGACCGGGACTAGACCGGGACTAGACCAGAACTAGACCAGGACTAAACCAGGACTAGACCGGGACTAGACCGGGACTAGACCAGGACTAGACCAGGACTAGACCGGGACTAGACCAGACTAGACCAGGACTAGACCGGGACTAGACCAGGACTAAACCAGGACTAGACCAGGACTAAACCAGGTCTAAACCAGGACTAAACCAGGACCGGGACTAGACCAGGACTAAACCAGGACTAAACCAGGTCTGAACCAGGACTAAACCAGGACTAGACCAGGACCGGGACTAGACCAGGACTAAACCAGGACTAAACCACGTCGGAACCAGAACTAAACCAGGACTAAAACCAGGAATAAACCAGGACTAAACCAGGACTAAACCAGGTCTGAACCAGGACTAAACCGGGACTAGACCAGGACTAAACCAGGACTAAAGCAGGACTAGACCAGGTCTAAACCAGGACTAAAACCAGGACTAAAACAAGGTCTCAGTCGTGGTCTGGTCCTCATCTCAGTCCTGATCTCAATCCTGATTTTGTCCAAGTCTCAGTCCTGGTCTTAGTCCTGGTCCCAGTCTCAGTCCTAAACCAGGACTAAACCAGGACTAAACCAGGATTAAACCAGGATTAAACCAGGATTAAACCAGGAGTGTTGGGATGGTTGGGTGATCAGGATTGGTTTAGTCCTGGTTTAGTCTTGGTTTAGTCTTGGTTTAGTCCTTGGTTTAGTCCTGGTTTAGTCCTGGTTTAGTCTTGGTTTAGTCCTGGTTTAGTCCTGGTTTAGTCCTGGTTTAGTCTGGTTTCTGGTTTAGTCCTGGTTTAGTCTTGTTTAGTTGGTTTAGTCCTGGTTTAGTCTGGTTTAGTCTTGGTTTAGTCTTGGTTTAGTCCTGGTTTAGTCCTGGTTTAGTCTTGGTTTAGTCTTGGTTTAGTCTTGGTTTAGTCCTGGTTTAGTCCTGGTTTAGTCTTGGTTTAGTCCTGGTTTAGTCCTGGTTTAGTCTTGGTTTAGTCTTGGTTTAGTCCTGGTTTAGTCTTGGTTTAGTCTTGGTTTAGTCCTGGTTTAGTCAATTTTTTCCATTTTTCATTTAAACACAAAATCAAAAACTGAAAAACTAAATCATTATCTGTTTTTTTCATTTTGGTTTTGGAGACAAATAATGAAGAAAATCGTTGTTTTTTATCTGTTTTCTTATTTTGGTTTTATTTGGAGTAAACCCGGACTCCCTTTTGTCGGTTTTTCAGGTGAACACGTTCCAGACGGTGTTGATCTCCGACGGCGTGGCGTTCTTCAGCATGTTCAACTACGGCGAGATCACGTGGAGCACGGGCACGGCCAGCGGCGGCGACCCGCTCACCGGGCTCGGAGGAACCACGGCTCAGGTAAAGCACCGGGACGCTCGCCGCCGCCCCCCTGTGGACGCGGACCTCGAAAACCCCAGCGCGGCTAGATTATAAAGGTGCAGTCGCCTTGTAATTATGATGACCAAAAAAAATTCATCAACTCTGGACGTGGTGGGGCTAAACATTTGCCAATAGATAACGACACTGCCTCGTTATCTGTGAGCTGACAGGCTGTCAATCAAACTTCCCTACGTTTCTAGTGTAACTGACTTGCCTGCGCCGCCGGTACGTGGTTTATGTACGACACAGACGCTGTTTACTCCACCAACGCAACAGTTCTTAGCGGCTTTTTTGACCTATATCTTCCTCGCAGTTCGCACAAAGTTTGTTGCGATGGCGACAAGAATCCAGGAGCAGTTCGCTGCAAAAGAAAGTCCGTTTTTGAGGTGAAAGAAGAAGACAAGGGGAAAAGCAGCGAAGCCAAAACTAAGGTGATTCTTGGAAGATTCATTCCAGCGATGGTGCGACTGAAGCAGACGCAAGGGTCTAAAGACTGAACCACTGGTCCACAAATTACTCCTGGACAGGAAACTTCTGCTTATTATGAAAACCTACTTTATTTCCAAGAGCGAGACAAACGTTTTTCAGGACACAAAAGCGATATCCTATGTCTGAAAACGTAATTTTCAAGGCAAAGAAAGAGTCGCTTGCTGCTGCGTGTTGTAGTTAGTTCATTCGCACTGAATCTCCGCGCAACCTTCCCTGCACCCCTTTCCTGCTCCTCACTTCTCCGTCTTGTCTAACCAACACTGTAGTTAGTTGTTTACAAGTCATGTGCAGCGGCTGTAAACAAACCTGTTTGTGGCGTAAGGAGGAGGAGGGAGGAGGTGTTTCTACGTAGGAGCTGTGGGGGAGGGGAGGTGGTTTCACACATGCACAACATTTGAAAAAGGACAAACAGTCGCTGGATTTCTCCTTCCTTGGAAAATCCTCTATACAACCTTTAACGTTCTGTTGTAACCATGGCAACCTGATTTATTATGATGTTTTCTGATCTGTGTTCTGACGGAGTTTCCTGGAGTTGTGTTTTGTTTCATTCACGTGTTTAACTCACAAACTCTGCAGATTTAGCAGAGTTCTTCTTCTCTCAAACTGAAAACACTCTGTTCCACCTTATGATGTCATTAAGTGTTAATACAGGGAGTGCTCCACTGTGTTTTTAAACTCCACACACCTTCACTAGAATCATCTGGATCATTTCCTTAGTGTAGTCTCAGTGTAGTGTCAGTGTAGTTCTGGTGTAGTCTCAGTGTAGTCTCAGTGTAGTTCTGGTGTAGTCTCAGTGTAGTCTCGGTGTAGTCCCGGTGTAGTTCTGGTGTAGTCCCGGTGTAGTCTCAGTGTAGTTCTGGTGTAGTCCCGGTGTAGCCTCAGTGTAGTCCCGGTGTAGTTCTGGTGTAGTCTCAGTGTAGTTCTGGTGTAGTCCCGGTGTAGCCTCAGTGTAGTCCCGGTGTAGTTCTGGTGTAGTCTCAGTGTAGTTCTGGTGTAGTCTCGGTGTAGTCTCAGTGTAGTTCTCTGGTGTAGTCTCAGTGTAGTTCTGGTGTAGTCTCGGTGTAGTCTCAGTGTAGTTCTGGTGTAGTCACGGTGTAGTCTCGGTGTAGTTCTGGTGTAGTCTCAGTGTAGTCTCGGTGTAGTTCTGGTGTAGTCTGGTGTAGTCTCAGTGTAGTCCCGGTGTAGTTCTGGTGTAGTCTCAGTGTAGTTCTGGTGTAGTCTCGGTGTAGTTCTGGTGTAGTCTCAGTGTAGTTCTGGTGTAGTCTCGGTGTAGTTCTGGTGTAGTCTCGGTGTAGTTCTGGTGTAGTCTCAGTGTAGTTCTGGTGTAGTCTCGGTGTAGTTCTGGTGTAGTCTCAGTGTAGTCTCGGTGCAGTTTAGTCTTGGTGTAGTTCTGGTGTAGTCTCAGTGTAGTCTCAGTTTAGTCTCGGTGTAGTTCTGGTGTAGTCTCAGTGTAGTCTCAGTGTAGTCTGGTGTAGTCCCGGTGTAGTTCTGGTGTAGTCTCAGTGTAGTCTCGGTGTAGTCTCAGTGTAGTCTCGGTGTAGTCTCGGTGTAGTTCTGGTGTAGTCCCGGTGTAGTTCTGGTGTAGTCCCGGTGTAGCCTCAGTGTAGTTCTGGTGTAGTTCTGGTGTAGTCTCAGTGTAGTTCTGGTGTAGTCTCGGTGTAGTCTCGGTGTAGTTCTGGTGTAGTCTCAGTGTAGTCTCGGTGTAGTCTCGGTGTAGTTCTGGTGTAGTTCCCGGTGTAGTTCTGGTGTAGTCTCGGTGTAGTCTCAGTGTAGTTCTGGTGTAGTCTCGGTGTAGTCTGTGTAGTTCTGGTGTAGTCTCGGTGTAGTCTCGGTGTAGTTCTGGTGTAGTCTCAGTGTAGTCTCGGTGTAGTCTCGGTGTAGTTCTGGTGTAATTCTGGTGTAGTCTCAGTGTAGTCTCAGTGTAGTCTCGGTGTAGTTCTGGTGTAGTCTCAGTGTAGTCTCGGTGTAGTTCTGGTGTAGTCCCGGTGTAGTTCTGGTGTAGTCCCGGTGTAGTCCTGGTTTAGTCCTGGTTTAGTCCTGACGTGCCCGTGTGTAATCACTAATCTCTCATAAAATTCCAGAATGTTAAAATCCGCCCGTTTCAGCAACTATTTTCCCGCACCTGTCGGGTCGTCACGGGGCCCGACAGGTGCAGGACTCTGGTTTGGAGCTTTGCAGATGTAAACAAAATAATAATCAAACGTGTGAATGAAACAAACAACACAACACACAACTTCAGGTCTGTTTTTTGAGGAGGAAACATTAGAACATGACTCACCGGAGTCTGTTTATTGTAATATACAGTAGGAGCTTTTTTTCCAGAACAAAAAAACAATTCCAACATGTTTTTTTCAGAGTTAAAAATTTCAAAGTTTGGTGTTTAGACTTTAGAGTTTAAAAAGTGATGAAGCAGAGGTTCTTCTGTGGTCCGTCCCTCACTCTGGTCCCTCACTCTGGTCCCTCGTGTCGCCCTCCACACTCAGTCAGGTTTCAACGGCGGAGACATCGGGCATTTCTTCAACCTGCCGGGGTCTCGCTCCAACGACGTCGTCAACATCGAGCAAACCACCAACGTCAACGTCCCCGGGCGATGGTTCTTCAGGGTCGACACGGAGCTCATCGACCCGGCCAACGGCTGCAGCTACAACGGCAAGTTTAGTCCTGGTTTAGGACTGGTTTAGACCTGGTTTAGTCCGGGTTTAGTTTAGACCTGGTTTAGTCCTGGTTTAGGACTGGTTTAGACCTGGTTTAGTCCTGGTTTAGTCTGGGTTTAGTCCTGGTTTAGACCTGGTTTTAATCCTGATTTTAATCCTAGTATTATTTCTGATTTAATTCTGGTTTTAGTCCCAATTTTAGTTCTAGTTTAGACCTGGTTTAGTCATGGTTTAGTCCTGTTTTAGTCCTGGTTTTAGTTCAGATTTTAGGTCTGGTTTTATCCTGGTTTTAGTTCTGGTTTTGACCTGATTAAATCCTGGTTTAGACCTGGTTTATTCAAGATTTTAGACCTGATTTTAGTTCTGATTTAATCCTTGTTTTAGTTCTTGTTTAGACCTACTTTTTGGCCTGGTTTAGACCTAGTTTAGTCCTGGTTTTAGTTGTGGTTTAGACCTGGTTTAGACCTGGTTTTAGTCTGGTTTAGACCCGGTTTAACCCTGGTTTTAGTCCAGATTTTAGTTCTAGTTTAATCCTGGTTTAGTCCTGGTTTTAGACCTGGTTTTGACCTCGTTTAGACCTGGTTTTAGTCCTGGTTTAGACCTGGTTTAAACCTGGTTTTACTCCTGATTTTAATACTAGTTTAGACCTGGTTTAGACCTAGTTTAACCCTGATTTAGTTCTGGTTTAGACCTGGTTTAGATGTGGTTTAGACCTGATTCAAACCTGGTTTAGACCTGGTTTTAGTCCTGGTTTAGACCTGGTTTAACGCTGGTTTTAGTCACGATTTTGGTTCTAGTTTAGTCCTGGTTTAGACCTGGTTTTAGGTCTGGTTTAATCCTGGTTTAATCCTAGTTTAGACCTGGTTTAGTCCTCTTTTTTGTCCTAGTTTTAGTCCTGATTTTAGTTCTGGTTTAATCCTGGTTTTAGTTCTTGTTTAGACCTACTTTTTGGCCTGGTTTAGACCTGGATTTAGTTCTGGTTTTGTTCTGGTTTTAGTCCTGATTTAGACCTGGTTTAGACCTAGTTCAGACCTAGTTTAGACCTGGTTTAGACTTGGTTTTAGTCCTGGTTTAGACCTGGTTTAGACCTAGTTCAGACCTAGTTTAGACCTGGTTTAGACTTGGTTTTAGTCCTGGTTTAGTCCTGGTCTTGTCCTGCTTTTAGTTCAGATTTTTTGTCCTAGTTTTAGTCCTGATTTTAGTCGTGGTGTAGACCTGATTTTAGTCTGAAATTGTCTTTGGAGAGATTCTGTTTTTGAGGAGGAACATCAGAACATCAGAACATCAGAACATCAGAACATCAGAACATCAGAACATTAGAACATCAGAACATCAGAACATCAGAACATTAGAACATCAGAACATCAGAACATCAGAACATTAGAACATCAGAACATCAGAACATCAGAACATCAGAACATCAGAACATCAGAACATTAGAACATCAGAACATCAGAACATTAGAACATCAGAACATCAGAACATCAGAACATCAGAACATTAGAACATCAGAACATCAGAACATCAGAACATCAGAACATCAGAACATCAGAACATTAGAACATCAGAACATTAGAACATTAGAACATCAGAACATCAGAACATCAGAACATCAGAACATCAGAACATCAGAACATGACCTGAAACTCGTAGATTCAGTTTTGTGTGATTTTTTCCCAGTAGACGTTCGCTCTGTCTTTTCGTTTCTCTCTGTAAAACCCTCCGACCTTCTGCCCGTGCCGTCTTCAGGACGTTACTACCGACCGGGCGAGATCTTCTGGCTGTCGGACCAGTGCTCGCAGAGGTGCCGCTGCCTGGACCTGGACAACGAGGTGCAGTGTGAGCGGGCGCCGTGCGGGCAGCTGGAGACCTGCGAGCACCAGGAGGGGGCCTTCTACTGCCAGCCCACGCGCACCAGCACCTGCGTCGTGTTCGGGGACCCGCACTACCACACCTTCGACGGGTTCCTCTACCACTTCCAGGTGAGGACGAGACCGCCGAGCCCGACACCAGGGTTCAGACCAAAGCTCCAAATGAAGCTCATCCAGGACAGCGGATAGTTAGTTATTTTCAGACCTGCAAACTGAAAAGAAAAAAAAAAAGGTGACAGTGTCCGGCGGGGGCGAAAGTGGCAAGTAAAAATAATTTAAATTCAGAATAAAAAATAATTCTGCTTTAAAAAGACCATGTAAACACTTATTTTTTATTTTATTTATTTATTTTGCGCATATAACATGACAATAAAAAGAAACAGACTACATAAAAAGTCGGTGCCGGAAAAGGCAAAAAACCCAATAGGGCGAAATATTAAAGCCTCCACCTTATGATACATTAAAAATTTTACATTATCACTGTGCATAAAAAAACTATATATAATATATATATATATCTATATATATATATATATATATATATATATATATATATATAGTGTATGTAGAAAAATTGCATTAAAACACCATGGATTAAATTCTTTTCATTCAAACATGGATTAAAACACAATGAAACATCCACAAAAGATTATCAAACATCACCATGAAATATCCAACATTTCCTCAAACTCTTTTTAAACAACACCTCTGATATACAGTCACTGACCAGATGTGAAAACTTAATTAATGATTATTTGGAATTAAATTTACTCGGAATTAAACTTAAATCCGAATTAACTGGATGGTTTATTCTGATTTTAAAGCGCAATTAATTTATTCTGCGATCATGTAAACCAGGAGAGTCAAACTCATCTTGTTCCGGGGGTCGTGTCCAAACGACTTTGATCCCAAAGTGTCCGGATCAGAAAACTCATGTCATATAAACCCCAAAAATAACAATAAGTTCAAATATTTGTGCAGAGAAACACAAATCTATTACACAAATCTTTTTTAATTGATGAACTCTTTCTTTTACAAAATATTATAACGTTAACACTTTATAATAACTACACCTTACTTAGCCTTAATAAAGCATGAACAAAGACTTAATTAATAATGAACAAAGATTTAATTAATAATGATTCACGCTTAGTAAATGCTTAATAAAACATAATTCATCTTCACTTTAGAAAAACTCTCAAAAAGACTTAACTAACAGATAACAGCTGCCTGAATTATCATTGCATTGTATTATTAGTAAATCATTCTCTCATAACTTACTAATCATTAATAAATGGTTAGTTCATGAGTAATTAAGTATGAAATAATTATGAGTAACTATTTACAGCACAGGCAAATTAAGTACAAGTGCGAATTAAGGTAGTAATTAAGTAGTAACTAAGCGTGAATCATTATTAATTAAGTCTTTGTTCATGCTTTATTAAAGCTAAATAAGGTGTAGTTATTATAAAGTGTTACCTATTATAATATTATGAACAACCTGAAACTTTAAGAAAAATACAATTTCAACACAAAGTTTGAACATGAACTTGTCTGTAAACAGGAAAAAGTCCAATTTTTGTTGTAAAATCCTGCACTCGGCTCCACTTTTCTCATGTTGGACATTTTTCTGATGAGGGTGTCACGGTCAACAGTCAAAACGATCGTCCTTTAAGAGCGTTTGGAAAGAGACAAGTCTTCATTTGTGCTGCTCTGGTGGGAGGGGCCACGTACAGAGACGCTGGAGACGCTGCTGTGATAAACACCACAGAAAATTAACAAGATTTTAATAGAAAATATCATTAAAATATTTTAGTAGAAAATCACCCAAGGGCCACATTAAAGATCTTGGAGGGCTGGATTCAGTCCCCGGGCCGGATGTTTGACACCCCTGGACTAGAACCTGCTCTTGTTGTGAGATTTGAGTTTCTTTTCATAAACTCCTTTAGAGGAAGTGGAGTAAGATTATTAAAAACTTTGTAAACCAAAATTAAATCTGCATATTTGACTGTGTTGTCTCAATAATTTAGGTGCAGCAAAATCACTGAATTTAAATACATTAATTCTTCTGTCATTAAAGTTCAAATCTTGATTCAGGGACAAAACAGTGAAATAAAAACCTCAGAGTGGATTAATTTGAGCATTTTAAACCAGATTGGTGGATATCGGTTGAGACTTAAAGCCAAAATATCAACGCTGGTATCAGAAGTGGGGGAGTCTACGGGGGACGGGACAAAGGGCTCTGTTGTCGTGGACTTAGGGGCCAAGAAATGGACCCTGTTTCTATACATTTATACGAGAGGGGCCCATGTGAAGTTTCTTGCCCCAGGTCCATGGATCACGTGTGGACGGGCCTGATCAGAGCTGAAACAGTTGGACCCGTGCGTTTCCATTATAACGAAACACAGATATCAGAGTTTTTATCGCGGTCGTGAACGTTCTCTCGTGTTTCCAGGGCACGTGCTCGTATCTGCTGGCTCGCCCCTGCTGGGAGCTGACCGGGCTGCCCTTCTTCAGCGTGGAGGCCAAAAACGAGAATCGGGGGATGGCGTCCGTGTCGTGGCTCCGCGAGGTCACGGTCGAGGTCTACGGGCACCGAGTCCTGCTGCCCAAAGGGACTCTCGGAACCGTCCAGGTAACAGTCCCGGACGTCTCTAGGGTCCAAGAACAATCTGTGTGTCGTTTTTCAAAATAAAACCAAAAATAAGAAAATGTAAAAAAACTACAATTTTCTTCATTATTTGTCTCCAAAACCAAAATGAAAAAACGGATAAAGATTTAGTTTTTTCAGTTTTAGATTTTGTGTTTAAATGAAAAAAAAAAAGGATAACGGACTAAACCAGGACTAAACCAGGTCCAGGACCAGGCCGGAACCAGACCGGGACTGAAACCAGGACTTACACCAGGAGCAGACCAGGACCAGATCGTGATTGAGACCAGGACTGAGACCGGGACAAGACCAGGACCAGGACTGAGACAGAGACTAGGACCAGACCGGGACTGAGACCGGGACAAGACCAGGACCAGACCATGATTGAGACTGGGACTGAGACCGGAACTGAGACCGGGACCAGGCCGGGACCAGGTTGGGACCCACTCAGAACTTAGACCGGGACCAGATTGGGACAGAGACCGGGACTGAAACCGGGACCAGGACCAAGACCAAGACCAGACCGTGACTGAGACTGGGACTGAGACTGGGACAAGACCAGGACCAGGACTGAGACCATGATTGAGACTGTGATTGAGACGGGAGACTGGGAGTAAGACTGAGACCAGGACAAGACCAGGACCAGACCATGGTTCAGACTATGACCAGACTGGGGCCAGACCGGGACTGAAAACGTTTTAGTTCTGGTTTAGTCCTGGTTTAGTCCTGGTTTAGTCTTGGTTTAGTCCTGGTTTAGTCCTGGTTTAGTCCTGGTTTAGTTCTGGTTTAGTCTTGGTTTAGTCCTGGTTTAGTCCTGGTTTAGTCCTTTTAGGGTTTAGTCTTGGTTTAGTCCTGGTTTAGTCCTGGTTTAGTCCTTGGTTTAGTCCTGGTTTAGTCCTGGTTTAGTCTTGGTTTAGTCTTGGTTTAGTCTTGGTTTAGTTTTGGTTTAGTCCTGGTTTAGTCTTGGTTTAGTTTTGGTTTAGTCCTGGTTTAGTCTTGGTTTAGTCTTGGTTTAGTCCTGGTTTAGTCCGTTTTTCCATTTTTCATTTAAACACAAAATAAAAAACTGAAAAAACGAATCTTTATCTGTTTTTTTTTTTTTTTTTTTTTGTTTTTGGAGACAAATAACGAAGCAAATAGTTGTTTTTTTGTTTTCTTATTTTTGTTTTTATTTTGAAAAACGAAGGAAGAACGACACACAGATTAAGAACAATAAAATATGTTTAACAATGTTTTTCCTCATTCATCTCAATAATCGATCAAATTTAAAGCTCCCACATCACACTTTTATCTGATCTTTGCTTTAATGTCGTTTCCTCATCACAAAAAAAACAACAGGAAGTGCTCCAGTGACATCACAAGGTGGAACAGAGCGTTTAGAGTTTTGGACATGTCGGGCTGCAGGGCCAGAGGCGGCGCTAACATTAGGCAAAAGTCGACGGTCCCCAAATCTGAAGGGGCCCCGACCCACTGCCCCCAGAGCAATTAAATTATCTCTCGATATAATATTAAATGAGAGAATTTTACTTTTAAACAATTATCAGAAGAAAAATAATAATCATCACATGTTCTGATTTTCTTTAACTGAATGAAAGTTAAATGTTTGTTTTTTTCAGGTGGACGGTTTGATGAAGACTCTGCCCGTGCAGATGCAGCTCGGCGCGGTGAAGGTTTACCAGTCCGGTGTGGCCGTCGCCTTGGAGACCGACTTTGGGCTTTTGGTGACGTACGACGGGCAGCACTACGCGTCCATCTCTCTGCCCAGCTCCTACTTCAACAACACCTGCGGCCTCTGCGGGAACTACAACGACGACCCGTCCGACGACCCGCTGCTGCCGGACGGCTCGCTGGCCGAGAGCGTGGTGGAGCTCGGCGGCAGCTGGCGAGCCGAGGACACGGACTGGCGCTGCACCGACGGCTGCGCCCAAAACTGCAGCGTGTGCGACGCCTCCAGCGAGGCCTTCTACTTCCGACCGGACTACTGCGGGATCATCAACAAGACGGACGGGCCCTTCAGGGACTGCCGGGCGGTGGTGGACCCCACGGCCTTCGTCTACAGCTGCGTGTACGACATGTGCAGCAACAAGGACAACATCACCACGCTGTGCCAGGCCATCCAGGCGTACGCTCTGGCCTGCCAGGCGCTCGGCGTCACCATCCGCTCCTGGAGGTCTCGAGCTTTCTGCGGTGAGATTTGTCTTTTGTACACGAGCGCTAAAGCCGCAGACTCTACAGCTCGAGTCTCCAAACTTTTCCTCTGGTGAGCTGCATTTACAAAACGAAAATGCCACAGAGCTGCTCGTTTAAGTGAAGAAACTGAGTAAATTAGCCACGGCCTTAGACGAGGTGCAGTTAGAGTCTATAAAACATAAACTATTATCCATTTATTAGTGCACAGTGTTATGGATCAGAATGAGGCACTGGTAATCAGCATTTAATTATTCTAATTTAGCTTTTTCATCACAATACATGTAATTCAGAAATCCCCTGGCAAGTTGCTTTGACGGGGGCGGAGAACTGCCAGAATCTCCCAAGCTACAGTCTGGAGACTCCTGCTGTACATTTTATATAAATCGACATGTTACGTTCAGAACAGGAAGTGATCGTGGGCGAGATTCAGCTCCATCGACTCTTTGTATGTAAAAACCATGGCCTCTCCCTGTAGCTTGTTTCATTAATCCTGGTGAGATGGTGAAGGCGTCAAAGCCACAGAGATAATAACTGTATAAAGAAAAGAGAGACAGGTTTATTTAATGGACAAAACAGAGAAAAAAACACCAGGATCACGTAGAGCGAGTTAATACAAACATTTTAAGATCAAAATACCGAGGCTCACAGCAGCAGGTACAGACAGAGGAGCCACAGTGTTCCAATGGAAGTCAGTGGGAGCCAGAGTCAGAAGGAGCCGAAAGAGCCACATGTGAACTTCCTGTTTGGAACACGGCAGGAAACACATGAGCTCTGTCCTTTTATATAAAGAGTCTATGGTCAAAGCAAAGACACTGAGTCTGTCTGAAGCAGAGAGTGGACGATGAAAACGGGTTAAGATCAGAAAAATGTCGTCTTAAAGATTCTTCAAACATGAATCAGTCCAAATAAAACTTCATAGTGTCAGAGAGAAGAAACACCTAGAACACAGAGAAAGAAGTTTAGTTTAACGATGTAATAATTGTCTCTGGTTTGTCCCGCAGCTTTGACGTGTCCTGAGTTCAGTCAGTACCAGGTGTGCACCACGGCGTGTCCCGCCTCCTGCTCCGACCTGACGGCGCCGCTGTACTGCGCCCACCCCTGCACCGAGGGCTGCCAGTGCGACCCGGGCTACGTCCTGAGCGGCAGCCGCTGCGTGCTCCAGGAGGACTGCGGCTGCGAGCACAACGGCCTCTACCATCCCATGAACGCCACCTTCTGGGTGGGCGCGACGGGCGAGGAGGGCGACTGCAGCCAGCGCTGCACCTGCGGCTTCGCCGGGGAGGTGTCCTGCTTTAACGAGTCGTGTAAGGACGGCGAGGTGTGCGCGGCGGAGGCGGGGCTCCTGGGGTGTTACCCGAGGAGAGAGGGCGTGTGCTCCGTCACGCAGACCGCCATGACGGCGTCCTTCGACGGGGCGCACCTGCCGTTCCCGGAGGACAGTTCGTTTTACCTGGTGAAGCTGTGCGGCCCCGTCCCGGTGAACGGATCCATGGTGGAGGTGAAAATGAGCCGACGCCTCTTCAACAAAGGACCGGCCTGGAAACGTCCCGTCATCGTGACCGTGGCCAACGTGGAGGCGCAGATGGGCGGAGTCGACTTCGACACAGTGAAGGTCGGTTAGTGTCAAAGACATTGGGGGTGTTCTACGTGTGTCTCTATGGTGGAGTGTTCAGCAGTTTGCATAGAGACACAACGCACACACTGTCAAAAATGTTTCTACATTGTCTGAAAAAACACCAAATTGATTTAAAGAGCAGGTTTTAATTTTCCTTTGATCAGTCCAAATGTTCACGGTCTTGTTTAGGAGTTTGATTTTCAATCAAAATAGTTCCTCAGTACTTCAAGTACTTCAAGTACAGTACTAACATCCTGCGTTTGTCTCAGTCTCAGTTTATGTTCAGGCGTCATGTGAAGCTCAGAACCTCCAGAGCTCCGTCCCTGAGCTGCAGCGGCTGCACCAGCACTGACTCATGGGGGTTTAGGGAGAATCCGTTCAGATTGAAGAGACACATTTTAGGATTAAACAAACTGGATTTCAGCTTTGAACCAGCAACACAAATGAGAGAGTCATGTGAGGCTCATTCTGCTTCTGATTGGAGAATTGTCTTGATCTAGTTTTTTTTTTTTTTTTTTTCAGGTACAGCATCTTTAAAGGTCCAATATTAAACTAAACGGACTCTTGAAAGTTTTAGTTTACTCTTTAAAGCGTCTCTGCGTGTCCAAAAAAGCACTATATAAACCTGATGCATTATTCTTATTTTTATTTTTTTATGTGATGTTCTAACCCTGGTCCCTCCTCAAAAACAGAGCTGGAGTTTTTTGTTTCATTCACATGTTTACGTCACTATTATGAGTCTGTCTACATCTCCAAAACTCCCAACCCTCTTTTCCACCTTGTGATGTCATGAAGAGGTTGTTTTCAACGTGAACATGTTATTTTACTTTTAGTTCGGTAGAGATCTGCAATTCCAGCGCTGAAATGATCCAGATGATTCAGGTGAAGGTGGGTGTAGTGTAGTGTAATTTTTCCTGTATCACTGCATGACATCACAAGGTGGAACAGAGTATTTGTGCGTTAAATGTGTGAATGAAACAAAACACGACTCCAGTTCTTTTTGTGACGAGGAACCTGCTTTCAAACCCTTTGTTCTGTGCGCAGGTGAACGGTGAGTCCGTGGTGCTGCCGTACGTTCACCCGATGGAGACGGTGATGATCTACCGCGCTCCAGGAAACGCCACGGTGGTGGAGTCCCGCGGGCTGCTCCGGGTTCACTACACCAGGCAGGGCCACGTCAACATCTCCCTGTCCACGCTCTACTACAACCTGACCTGCGGCCTGTGCGGCGTCTTCAACGGCAACGCCACCGACGACCTGCGCCTCCCCAACGGGCGCCAGGCCGAGTCCCCCGAGCAGTTCACCGAGGCCTGGAAGTCCCTGGCCGACGACCTGACGTGTAACGGGGACTGCGACGACCTGTACCGCATGTGCACGGACCTGCGCCTCTACCAGAGCCCCTGGATGTGCGGGAACATCAACGACCCCGGGAACAGCTCCTTCATCGCCTGTCACAACGTGGTCAACCCTTCGCCGTTCTTCAGGAGCTGCCTGTACAACATGTGCGTGAAGGAGGGAAACCGCTCGGCCATGTGTAACTCCCTGCAGGCCTACGCCAGCGCCTGCCAGGACGCCCACGTCAGCCTGGCGTCGTGGAGGAGCGCCACCAACTGCCGTAAGAACCGTCTTCATTTACAATCAAATACACGACTTAAAGGTTGTATAGAGGATTTTTTTAAGGGAAGAGAAATACAGTGACAGTCCTTGTGCGCATTCAGAATTACTGTTGAAGTTTCCTGTCTAGAAGTAATTCAGCGACCGACGCGTCACTTTTTAGACCCTTCGTCTGCTTCGGTCGCGCCATCGCTGGACGAGATCTCCAAGAATCACCTCTGTTTGGCTTTGCTCCTTTTCCTCTTCTCTTCTTCTTTCCTCAAAAACGGACTTTCTTTTGCGGCGAACCGGTCGTGGATTCTCGTCCGCCGTCGCGACAAACTTTGTGCGAAATGCGAGGAAGCGACAGTTCGAAAAAGCCTCTAAGAACCGCTGCGTAAACCACGTAATCCCCGCGCTCCGACGAGTCAGTTACACTAGGGAGTTTAATTGACAACCTAACAGCCAATAGAAAATGAGGGAGCCTCGTTTTCTATTGGCTGATGTTTATCTGGCCGCACTACGTCCACAGTTGATCGATTTTTGTTCTTTTTTTTTTGGTCATCATAATTACAAAGCTGCTTCGTCTCTGTAATGGTATTTTAATCTTTCACTGACAGTTTGAAACTAAAAAAAATCCTCCATACAACCTTTAAAAAAAGCTTAAGATATAAACATTTAAACCCATCAGAAAATGACTTAAAAGTAGTGAAATGTTCTTGCTGCGTGGACGGATCATTTTACTGGACAAGTTTTCTTAAAATAAACGACCTCTAGACTAAAACAGAGCTTTTTCACCACGTCTGGAAGTGCAGCGCTGTAGGATAAACGTAACTCTAGGTTAATGCTTTTCTGTGGCAAAATATCTTTGGAAATGTCTCACATATTTTCCAGCAGCTTCATAAATCTGCCCCTATTACCACTTCATGACATCACAAGGTGTAACAGAGCGTTTGGAGCTTTGGGGATGTAGACCGACTAATGGCAAAGGAGAAATTCAATCTGTCAACTGGACAAACATTTATTTGGTCGAAAACGTTTGGCAGCGTGGAGAAGAAGCAGCTCATCCTCATCAAAACAAAACAGATAATGATTCAATTTTTCAGTTTTTGATTTTGTGTTTAAATGAAAAATAGAAAAAACTGATAACGGACTGAATCGGGACTAAACAGTTTTCAGTCCTGGTCTGATCCCAGTCTCAGTCCTGGCCTCACTCCTGGTCTGGTCGTGGTCTGGTCCCAGCCTCAGTCTTGATCTCAGTCCCGGTCTGGTCCCAGTCTCACTCCTGGTCCTAGTTCCGGTCTGGTCCCAGTCTCAGTCCTGGTCTGGTCATGGTCTGGTCCCAGCCTCTGTCTTGATCTCAATCCCGGTCTGGTCCCAGTCTCAGTCCTGGTCTCACTCCTGATCCTAGTCCTGGTCCTGTTCTCGGTCTCAGTTCTGGTCTGATCCCGGTCTCAGTCCTGGTCTGGTCCCGGTCTGGTCGTGGTCTGGTCCCGGCCTCAGACTTGGTCTCAGTCCCGGTCTGGTCCCAGTCTCAGTCCCGGTCTCAGTCCTGGTCCTAGTCCTGGTCCTGTTCTCGGTCTCAGTCCCGATCTGGTTCCGGTCTGGTCCCTGACCTGGTTCAATCCTGGTTCAGTCCTTTTTCCGTTTTTTTCCATTTTTCATTTAAACACAAAATCGAAAACTGAAAAAATGAATCTTTATCTGTTTTTTCATTTTGGTTTTGGAGACAAATAATGAAGAAAATCGTTGTTGTTGTTTTTTTTTCATTTTCTTACTTTGGTTTTATTTTGAAAAACGACCGACACACAGATTGTCTCTAAACTGAAAGTAGAATGATCTTTGTCTCGTTCCTTTCAGCTCTTCCGTGTCCTGAGAACAGTCACTTCGAGGAGTGCACCACGTCCTGCCCGCTGACCTGCGCCACGCTGGACGAGCCGGAGGAGCCGTGCCCGCTGCCGTGCCAGGAGGGCTGCCAGTGCGAGGACGGCTACGCGCTGATGGACGGGCTGTGCGTGGCGAGGCGGGACTGCGGGTGCGTGTACCACGACCGCCACCTCGCCACCAACCAGACCTTCTGGACCGACTGGGAGTGTCGCGACCGCTGCTTCTGCAACGGCTCGGACAACGCCGTGTCCTGCCAGCCCGCGCCGTGCCAGCCCGAGGAGTACTGCCAGGGGAGTAACGCGGGCACCGGGGTTAAACACCCGTGCGATCAAACTCCTTTTCCATCTGAAGTCTTTTGCTGTCGTCATCTGAGCGGAAATGACCTCGTATCATTTCCACAAAAATAATAATTCATGATTTTAGAAATAAACTCGCACAAATGAAAACAGCACAAACCAAACACGAACGGTTCATATCATTTTTTTTTATTTAAATTTTTTTTATAATTTGTCAAGTTTGAGGGATTGAATACCCAGCACATCCACAACAAAATATAAAACTAACACACATACAAAAAAAATAAAATAAAATAAATTAAATTAAATTAAATTAAACTAAATTAAATTAAATTAAAATAAATTAAAATAAAATAAAAATTTAAAAATACAAGGGATGGGGGGTTGAGGAGGGTGTGTGTAGTACAGAGTTTCTCAGTGCAGTATAATTTTTTTCTGTTGCTTTGAGACTCTTTAACATTTTGAGAGGACGACGTCATCGGCCCAAAATAAAACTGAAGAATATCTTAAAAATCTTAATCGCACAAACGAAACTTTTTGCAGCACAAATGAAGCACAAACGATTTATATAATTTATTTATTTACGTTTTAATTATTTATTTTGCACATATATCCTCCTGGTACCTGAAGAAAAAAACTGTGTTGCAATATATATATATATATATATATATATATATATATATATATATATATATATATATATATATATATATATATTAGTGATTTTCTATCTATTATTATTTCTATTTGGAGATAAATTAACACCTTTTTAAAAATGTTGTTAATTTTATTTTTGTTTAGAATTTTATAACATGTCCTCTGTGATGGACACCGGGCAGTGTTGGGAAGTTTAATTTTAAAATGTAATCCCCTACAGATTACAGATTACATACCCCAAAATGTAGTTTGTAACATAATCCATTAAATTACTTAAAGTGAGTAATGTAATCTGAATACTTTGGATTACTTGAGTTGCTGCAGAGAAGCAAAGACGAGGAAATCGTCACATAAGATGTTTTGTCTGATAAAAGAAAATAAAAAGCCCAAACTTTACTGAACCAAATTAAAATTATTATTGATAGAAAACGAGGAAACACGTCCATGTGATTTAGTCGCTCCACATACAAAATGTTCTCTGTAAACTCGGGATGATTTCTTAGTCAGACAAATGTTTCCTTTTTGTTTCTTCCTGTGGATCAATCCTGCCCATCACCTTCACCTTTCACTATTTTTCAATTCCGTTGGGAAGAGAAACAGTTTGAACAGAGGTTTGAGTCACACACATCTGATTCACTTTTGCATTTATGGAGTTTTTCCGCCGTTTGGATCCAACAACCACAACAATGACGATGTCCCAATCCCAAAACTAAAATATGACAATATCAGAACCAGAAACAAAAGTGAAATGGTTCAAAAGACTTGAAAAGATCGACTTTGACAGTAGACTCATCCCACCGGGAAAACAAACATGGAGGTTTGACTCTCACTTTTTCGGAAAATCCTTCCCGGTCTGAATTGCGCGATGATTCTTGATGCGTGTTTATATGTTTCCCGCAGAGTTTATCTCAAAACTCTTAAAAGAAAATCTGGTTAACGCAGCGTCCACTGTAATGGACACAAAACAACAGGCCGCGTCTCAGGAGGTTAGAACGTAACAATTACACACGTTGGATAAACTATAGTATCATGTAAGTGTAGATTTTTGAGAATATCGATACTGCTCCAATGAGTATTGTCAGGGAATTTTACCCTAAGACATCAATTTACATTAAATAAAGACACACCAAAACGAGACGGTTTAGTTATTCTTGCGCACGGAGAGAGAGCGTCCGTAACACTGTCTGACCCTCGTTTTATTGAATTCATTTCACAGATAACAGTACAGTACATTATGTTAAACTCATGACGTTTACCTTTACGCTGTTTCTCCCGGTACATTATCTTAAAGGTTGTATAGAGGATTTTTTTAAGGGAAGAGAAATACAGCGGCAGTTCTTTTTCAAATGTTGTGCATGCGTGACACCACCTGCCTCCTCCACAGCTCCTTCAGTAGAAACACCTCCTCCTGCCTCTTTACTCTAGAAATCACGCTTGTTTCCAGCCGGTGCGCGTTCAGAATCACTGTTGAAGTGACCTGCCTAGAAATAATTTATCGAACGACACGTCAGTTTTTAAACCCTTCGTCTGCTTCATTCGCGCAATCGCTGGAAGGAATCTCCAAGAATCACCTCGGTTTGTCTTCGCTCCTTTCCCCCTTCTTCTCTTCTTCTTTCAGCGACCTCAAAAAGCAACTTCGTTTCGCGGCGAGCTGCTCGTGGATTCTCGTCGGCCGTCGCCACAAACTTTGTGCGAAATGTGAGGAAGCGACAGTTTTGAAAAAGCCTCTAAGAACCGCCGCATAAACCACGTAATCCCCGCGTCCCGACGAGTCAGTTACACTAGAAATGTAAGGAGTTTGATTGACGACCTGACAGCCAATAGATAAAGAGGCAGTCTCGTTTTCTATTGGCTGATGTTTATCTGGCCTCAACACGTCCACAGTTGATACATTTTCATTCTTTTTTTTTTTTGGTCATCATAATTACAAGGCTGCTGCGTCTCTCTAATGGTATTTTAAACTTTCACTGACAATTTGAAACAAAAAAAAAAATCCTCCATACAACCTTTAATGAGTCAGTCGCCACATCAGCAGGATCACCTGATACAACAAAACAAGACAGAACAAAAAGCCAATGTTGCTTTTTGTCAGAACGGAAAAACCCAAAAACACAATTGTTGATAACTTTAATCACACACAAATGATTATGATTTTAAATGATTCATATTATTTAAAATAACACAGAAATTCTTTCACAAGTATCTAGTTTCGATACTGGTTTTAAAATCGGTTCGTGAAGTGATTTTCGATGTTTTTTTTTTTCCGTCCCCACAGGAGAGCGACGGCCTCTTCTACTGCCAGCCCCGCACCGAGGCCCTGTGCGTCGCCGCGGGATACGGCCACTTCCTGCCGTTCGCGGGCGCGGCGTTCGACCTGCAGAGCTCGTGCCCGCTGCAGCTGGTCACGTCGGAGTGCGGCGTCGTCACCCGCGAGCTGGCGGCGGCGCTCCCGTCGTTCAAGCTCGCCGCCCGCAACGAGGAGCGCGACACGGGCCAGGCCATCTGGGTCAAAGGCTTCGTGCTGGAGACCTACGACTACGAGATCGAAGTGTCGCGGAGCTACAAGAACACGGTGACGGTGAGGGGCTGCTCTGCATGTGTGTCTACGGGGGGATGTTCAGCGGTTAACGTGGTGACGCAAAAAAAAAAAACACAAAACAAAAAAAAAAACACATCTGCATAATCCTCTATCTTTACAGAGCTTTAAAAGTGCACTGTGTAACTTTCCTGGTGGAGGGTTCGTCAAATTCTTTTCTGTCTTCACGGAAACCAAACCAGAGCGAGTTACAGGTCAGATCTGTGGAGAGGCGACGCCGCTCAGAGTCACAATGTCTGTTTTTTCTAGGTATTTTTGAGCTGTAAAACCATGTGTAACTGAATAAATGTAAAGTAGAGCTGTTTAATGTCACACTGTGGAACATTCCAGACAGAACAATGACATCTCCATAGCAACAAACAAATGACGGACCCCTCACCAAAAAGTTACACAGTGCAGCTTTATAGAAATACTTTGAGAGGCAAGTCAACTGAAGTCTGCTGAACCGAGGTCTAAACCAGGACTAAACCAGGACTAAACCAGGACTAAACCAGGACTAAACCAGGACTAAACCAGGTCTAAACCAGGTCTAAACCAGGTCTAAACCAGGACTAAACCAGGTCTAAACCAGGTCTAAACCAGGACTAAACCAGGACTAAACCAGGACTAAACCAGGTCTAAACCAGGACTAAACCAGGACTAAACCAGGACTAAACCAGGACTAAACCAGGACTAAACCAGGTCTAAACCAGGTCTAAACCAGGTCTAAACCAGGACTAAACCAGGACTAAACCAGGACTAAACTAAACCAGGACTAAACCAGGTAAAACCAGGTAAACCAGGAAAACCAGGACTAAACCAGGACTAAACCAGGTCTAAACCAGGTCTAAACCAGGTCTACACCAGGTCTAAACCAGGACTGAACCAGGACTGTTTGTCAGGACGGCCCAAAGGTGCGCCCATGTAAACTGTCAGGTGACTACGGGCGAAAAAAACCAACGCAGAACAAGACGAAGAGCAACCGATGTCTGATCGAGATTTGAGGAAACACTGCTCCACGAACTCAGGAACTAGAGGAACAAGTCCTAGTCCAAGATTAGTCCTGGCCTGGTTTAGACCTGGTTTAGTCCTGGTTTAGACCTGGTTCTCTCTGTCCAATCACGGGTCTAAATCCGGTGTCGTTGTCATTTGCTGCTAAAGTTCCTGGTGACACCAACTCAAAACCATGAACATTTATTTGGTGTTCGAGTTCCTGCAGATTGTGAAGGCCTCAGGGACACTTCTTTGACTTTGACTCTGCCTGGCAACAAGTGACGGCTGAAATGTGATTGGTCAAAAGCTTTAACGTGAAAATCCATGTGGAAGCAGCACAAGCCTCAGAAAAACTCTGAAAGGAAGAGGACAGAACATTTGGAATAATTTAATAATGATATAATTAACATCAGTCTGTGATTCAGATAATTTTTTAGGCCAACAGAGAAGAACTTGCAGAACCTGATGCTCCACCAACAGCTCCCAACACTGGTGATCATCTGTATGTTAATAAGTCTGAAAGCACCTGAACGATTATGTCCATTTGACTCAGTTCACACTAGAGATGTGCTGATGGGCTATTTTTTCATCTGCAACCGCGACACAAAACTCATCGTCCGCCCGCTTCCATTTGCATCTAAGGTTTTGACCAATTTTCAAAACCGCACTCGCCCGCCATCCGCCCATTGATTTTAGGCAAGGCAAGTTTATTTGTACAGCACAATTCGTACACAAAGTAATTCAAAGTGCTTTACAGAATAAGAAATACATTAAAATCATAATAAAAACAAATCAAAACAAAACATAAATAATCATGAAGATTAAAATTAAAAAAGAGAGACATAAATTGGAGAGAAGAGTGCGGAATGAAAACCTTTCAGTTATTTGCACAGTTAAACAGAAATGTTTAGAGTCTGGATTTAAACAGCGTCACAGAAGAGTCTGTCTCACATGTTCAGACTGTTCCAGGTTTTAGCTGCATGAACCTGAAACTCTGACTCCCCTTGTTTAGTCGTGACTCTGGGCACCAGCAGGAGTTGGTCCCTGAGCTCCTCAGAGTGTGAGATGTTCATATGACACTAACATGTCACAGATGGACTTTGGTGCTCGGCCGTGGAGACACTTGTACAAGCAGAGCTGCTTTTTAGATTTTAGAACGACCATAAAGCAAACAAACTAAAGAGCCTCGATAAAAATGCAAACTCTACAGCTCATTCATTCCAACATTCGCTCACTGTGCATGTTCACATTCTTAATTGTCCGTAACAAAACGCCGCTCGTTGCTCAGGGTTTAACTCCCTGTTCGGAGCCTCACCGTGAGTTCGTGGGCTCAATAAACGCGCCAGTTCGTTGCTCAAGAATCGTAGCTTTATTTGACGCACTAAATAACAGGACAGTTGCTTCCTGACTCGCTTCAGTCACTTTCCGACCGTTCATTTCACATACAGTAAAACATAGGCGCCCGTACACTCCGCGGGCCTGTTCACGAAGCGCACGCAGTCACTCAGTCACGCTCACGCCACACGCCGCTATAAACGCTGCACATAGGAGTAAAGACGCAGATCTCATAACACTTCACAATATTCTATGTTATTAGGTTCTTTTTTTCAGACCTAGAGTGTCATTTCATACCTGACAGTTTGTTCTGTTCACTAGCGTCTTCCTCAGAGTCACGTGATGTTGCTGTGACGCGTCTGGTCAGTTGATTCAAACAGGTTTTGTCTCTGTCTTCCTCTCGGTGGAGGCAGGACGACAGCGCCACCTGCAGTCCCACTTCCTCAGGACAGAATCCCAGGTGTGTGAGAGTAAAAAAGCCCCTCGTCCCGGTTTACAGTCCCGTGGGCACGTTTCCGTATTTCGATTGCTTCTTTAATCCAGCGGCGATGTTTGTTTTCCTCTGTCCCAGTGACGTTTGCTCCGTCCCCGTCCATAACGTGATTCTCTCTTTTACACTGGTCAGAAACGGCCGATTTGAGTTGTTCCTGTTCTGCTTTGTGTTTTGTTGCTCGTGTTTAAATCATCTGACCAGACGCGTCACAGCAACATCACGTGACTCTGAGGAAGACGCTAGTGAACAGAACAAACTGTCAGGTATGAAATAAAACTCTGGGTCTGAAAAAAAGAACCTAATAACATAGAATATTGGAAGACCATTGGACCACTTAACAATATAGGCTGTAATATATATATTTCACGTCATCCGCCCGATTTACCGCAATCCAGGCATCTGTAGTTCACACCGAGCGAACAAACTGAAACTGTAAACAAAAGTGTGTTAGTCTCAGTTTGAATCGTTACAATACAAAAGTGATTTAAAGAACAAGTTTTCCTTTTCCTGTGACCAGTCTGAGTGTTCATGGTCCTGTTCAGGAGTTTAATTTTCTCCAGAAAGGTGAGAGGGACGTGTTTAAGAACCCAGATCAGATCACCTGTTGGAGTTTGTTCTTTCTTGTGTTAAGTTTGTGTTAAAACAAAGATCACGTTAAAGCCTCAGACAGAGCAGAGCCTCCTGTTAGCGTCACGTCCCCGGGGGATTGTTGACGACACGAGCTGCAGAGTTTTAATAACAGCGACACGAGTGTTTGAAATATTTCCTTTGAGCCCGGCAGAGGAATGAAGAGTTGGACAGCGGGATGTGAATTCTCGGCGTAATCGCGGAAAAGGTGGGAGCAGCCGCGTGTCTCCGGGAGTTACGCCGGATTCCAGGTTGAATCAGACGGATCACGTTTCCCCGGGTCTTTGAAGGGCCCGGCTCTGAGCGACGCTTGGAGCCGCTTCACAAACACGCTGCAGTTTGAGAGGAAAATGTGAGGCACTGACAGCTGTGAGCATCTGGCCCAGAACTCAGATGAAAAATTCCACAGAAACAAAGAAAACAAATCAAATCAAATCCAATTTTTACTGATAACGACTGTGATGTAATACTGACGACGGACAAAATGTTTTTGTTATTGCCCGTTTCAAAAAGAAATCCAGTTGGTTTAAACCCGAGCACCTGCAGCAGCATGAGTCAGCGCTAGTGCAGCTTCTGCAGCTCAGGGAGAGAAGTGTGGAGGTTCTGATCTTCACCGGAGACAGGAACATAAACTGAGACTGAGACAAACACAGGACGTGTCTCTGTGTCTGTGTCTGTGTCTGTCTGTGTCTCTGTGTCTGTGTCTCTGTGTATCTGTGTCTCTGTGTCTGTGTGTCTGTGTCTCTGTGTCTGTGTCTGTGTCTGTGTCTCTGTGTCTGTGTCTGTGTCTGTGTCTGTCTGTGTCTCTGTCTGTGTCTCTGTGTCTGTGTCTGTGTCTGTGTCTGTGTGTCTGTGTGTCTGTGTCTCTGTGTCTCTGTGTCTCTGTGTCTGTGTCTCTGTGTCTGTGTCTCTGTGTGTCTCTGTGTCTGTGTCTCTGTGTCTGTGTCTCTGTGTCTGTGTGTGTCTGTGTCTGTGTCTCTGTGTCTGTGTCTGTGTCTGTGTCTGTGTCTGTGTCTCTGTGTCTGTGTGTGTCTGTGTCTCTGTGTCTGTGTCTGTGTCTGTGTCTGTGTCTGTGTCTGTGTCTCTGTGTCTCTGTGTCTGTGTCTCTGTGTCTGTGTCTCTGTGTCTGTGTCTCTGTGTCTGTGTCTGTGTCTGTGTCTGTGTCTCTGTGTCTGTGTCTCTGTGTCTGTGTCTCTGTGTCTGTCTGTGTCTGTGTCTGTGTCTGTGTCTCTGTCTGTGTCTGTGTCTGTGTCTGTGTCTGTGTCTGTGTCTGTGTGTCTGTGTCTCTGTGTCTGTGTCTCTGTGTCTGTGTCTCTGTGTCTGTGTCTGTGTCTGTGTCTGTGTCTGTGTCTGTCTGTGTCTCTGTGTCTGTGTCTCGGTGTGTGTGTCTCTGTGTCTGTGTCTCTGTGTCTCTGTGTCTCTGTCTGTGTCTGTGTCTGTGTCTCTGTGTCTGTGTCTCTGTGTCTGTGTCTCTGTGTGTCTCTGTGTCTGTGTCTCTCTGTGTCTGTGTCTCTGTGTCTGTGTCTCTGTGTGTCTGTGTCTGTCTCTGTGTCTGTGTCTCTGTGTCTGTGTCTGTGTCTCTGTGTCTGTGTCTCTGTGTCTCTGTGTCTGTGTCTGTGTCTCTGTGTCTCTGTGTCTGTGTCTCTGTGTCTGTGTGTCTGTGTCTGTGTCTCTGTGTCTGTGTCTGTGTGTCTCTGTGTCTGTGTGTCTGTGTCTCTGTGTCTGTGTCTCTGTGTCTGTGTCTCTGTGTCTGTGTCTGTGTCTCTGTGTCTCTGTGTCTGTGTCTGTGTCTCTGTGTCTGTGTCTCTGTGTCTCTGTGTCTGTGTCTGTGTGTCTGTGTCTCTGTGTCTCTGTCTCTGTGTCTGTGTCTGTGTCTCTGTATCTGTGTCTCTGTGTCTCTGTGTCTGTGTCTCTGTGTCTGTGTCTCTGTGTCTGTGTCTCTGTGTCTCTGTGTCTGTGTCTCTGTGTCTGTGTCTCTGTGTCTCTGTGTCTGTGTCTGTGTCTCTGTGTCTGTGTCTCTGTGTCTCTGTGTCTGTGTCTCTGTGTCTGTGTCTCTGTCTCTGTGTCTGTGTCTCTGTGTCTGTGTCTCTGTCTCTGTGTCTGTGTCTCTGTGTCTCTGTGTCTGTGTCTGTGTCTGTGTCTCTGTCTCTCTGTGTCTGTGTCTGTCTCTGTGTCTCTGTCTGTGTCTCTGTGTCTGTGTCTCTGTCTGTGTCTGTTTGTCTGTGTCTGTGTCTCTGTGTCTGTATTTCTGTGTGTCTGTGTCTCTGTGTCTGTGTCTGTGTCTCTGTCTGTGTCTGTGTGTCTGTGTCTGTGTCTCTGTGTGTCTCTGTGTCTGTCTCTGTGTCTCTGTCTTTGTCTCTGTGTCTGTGTCTCTGTGTCTCTGTGTCTGTGTCTCTGTGTCTCTGTGTCTGTGTCTGTGTCTGTGTCTGTGTCTGTGTCTCTGTGTCTCTGTGTCTGTGTCTCTGTGTCTCTGTGTCTGTGTCTCTGTGTCTCTGTGTCTGTGTCTGTGTGTCTGTGTCTGTGTCTGTGTCTCTGTGTCTGTGTCTGTCTGTGTCTCTGTCTGTGTCTCTGTGTCTGTGTCTCTGTGTCTGTGTCTGTGTCTGTGTCTGTGTCTCTGTGTCTCTGTGTCTGTGTCTGTGTCTGTGTCTGTGTCTGTGTCTGTGTCTCTCTCACAGGGTCAGGTCCATAACTACAACAACAATAACAACTAAAGCTGCGCTGCAGAAGCTGCACTGGCCGTGACTCAGGACGGGTGCAGGTTTAGTGTCCAGGCTGGCAGCACCAAGTGTCCGATTCCCGAGATCGAGGATTTAAAGCCGGAACAAAGAGAATGTTTGGTGAATTTTATCAAGGGGAAAGACGTTATTGTTCTTCTTTCTTTGGAGCTTTACAAACGTCACGACCAAACAGCAGCGACTGGTTCAATAAAAAAAGTCTCCGCTGACTGTTGATCGAACGAATCCTCATGCTGCGACGTCGCACGGTTTACACCAAGTGAAACCGGCTCACGAATCAGACTGGGGGTTTAGGGAGAAACTGTTCAGATCAGAGACATTTTAGGTTTAAACCCACTGGATTTCAGCTTTGAACCAGCGACTCACAAGAGAGAGAGACTCATGTGAGGCTCATTCTGCTTCTGATTGGAGAATCGTCTGGAACAAAACACCAAATTAAAACTGAAATAAAGGAGAGTCCAAGGTTTTTGTGATTAAGAATAAATTAGTTTTACAGTTTTTTATGGAAGTTTAACCAAACCTGCCGCTCTGTTGTGCCAGTCTAACCTGCCGCTCTGTTGTGCCAGTCTAACCTGCCGCTCTGTTGTGCCAGTCTAACCTGCCGCTCTGTTGTGCCAGTCTAACCTGCCGCTCTGTTGTGCCAGTCTAACCTGCCGCTCTGTTGTGGCAGGTGAATAAGGAGCGGCTGTACCTGCCTCTGAAGCTGGGCCTGGGGCGGGTGAACATCTTCAGCGTGGGCACGCAGCTGGTGCTGGAGACGGACTTTGGGCTCAAAGTGGCGTTTGACTGGAACACTCTGCTGCTGCTGTCTCTGCCGCGGGACCTGTACCACACGGCGTGCGGGCTGTGCCAGGGCATGCCCCTCACCCCTCCCATCCTCAGCACCACAGACTGGGGCATGGCGTGGGCGGAGAGGGACACCTTCTGCCAGGTGGGGTGCGGGGACTCGTGCCCGCGCTGCGGCCTGGGCGAGAAGAGCGGGCTGTCCGAGGGGGCGCTGATGGTGGCGGACGCCAACGGGAACGACGACAACGGCGAGAGGGAAGTGAACACGCGCATCCGCTTCCACATCGGAGACGGACTGTACGTGTTTGTGGAGCCCGAGGCCGTGAGGCTGTGCGGCCTCATCGTCGACAGAGGAGGAGCCTTTGTCCGATGCCACAGCAAGGTGGCGCCGACGTTCTTCTACCAGAGCTGCCTGCAGGACACCTGCCTGGACCAGGGCGCCCAGGACACCATCTGTAACTGGCTGCAGATGTACGCCAGCACCTGCCGGGCGCAGGGCGTCTCTCTGAGCGACTGGAGGAGTGACACGCCCTGTGGTCAGTGCCCAGTGCCGGTTAATCTGTGAGACCATCGGTGTGGGCAGTGTGGGCACATGCCCCTCACCTGCCCCTCACCTGCCCCTCACCTGCCCCTCACCTGCCCTTCACCTGCCCTTCACCTGCCCCTCACCTGCCCTCACCTGCCCTTCACCTGCCCTTCACCTGCCCCTCACCTGCCCTGCACCTTCACCTGCCCTCACCTGCCCTCCTCACCTGCCCTTCACCTGCCCCTCACCTGCCCTCACCTGCCCACCTGCCCCTCACCTGCCCCTCACCTGCCCTTCACCTGCCCCTCACCTGCCCTTCACCTGCCCCTCACCTGCCCTTCACCTGCCCTTCACCTGCCCCTTCACCTGCCCCTCACCTGCCCCTCACCTGCCCTTCACCTGCCCCTCACCTGCCCTCACCTGCCCTTCACCTGCCCCTCACCTGCCCCTCACCTGCCCTTCACCTGCCCCTCACCTGCCCCTCACCTGCCCTTCACCTGCCCCTCACCTGCCCTTCACCTGCCCTTCACCTGCCCTTCACCTGCACCTGCCCCTCACCTGCCCTCACCTGCCCTTCACCTGCCCCTCACCTGCCCCTCACCTGCCCTCACCTGCCCTTCACCTGCCCCTCACCTGCCCCTCACCTGCCCCTCACCTGCCCCTCACCTGCCCTCACCTGCCCCTCACCTGCCCTCACCTGCCCTTCACCTGCCCTCACCTGCCCCTCACCTGCCCTTCACCTGCCCTCACCTGCCCTTCACCTGCCCTTCACCTGCCCCTCACCTGCCCCTCACCTGCCCTTCACCTGCCCTTCACCTGCCCTCACCTGTCCGCTCATTACACTTTATTAACATCTTATAAAATCTGTTCATAACATAAAAAGCGAAAATATAATTATAACATAAAAAGCAATAACTAATCTCCCATCAAAAGAAACACATTTTTCTGACACTTTAAACATGTTTTCAACAAAATAAAAGTCTGTTTCTGTTCCTCTAATGAGACGGGGGATAAAACTGTACATTTCTTAGTAAAATCTGAAATATCTGTGTGTTTCAGTAAAACGAGTCCAACTGTCAGACGAGCTTAAACGAGATTCAGTGTTAAAGCTGCACTTTGTCATTTTTCTGTTTCTGTTATTGCTCTGTCTGGAATGTTCCACAGAGTAGCATTAAACCTTTCTGTCTTCATGGAGACCACACCAGACTAAGATCCAGGTCAGATCTGTGGAGAGGCGACTCCGCTCACAGTCACAATGTTTGTTTTTCCAGATATTTTTGAGTTATAAATCCACCTGTGACTGAGTAAATGTAAAGTCGAGCTGTTTAATGTCACACTGTGGAACATTCCGGGCAGAGCAGTGACGTCTCCATAGAAGCAAACAGGTGACGAACCCCCAACCAAAAAGTTGCACAGTGCAGCTTTAGATATGAGAACGTGGAGTCATGTGAAACAGCCGTGCAGTAACAGTGTTCATGTGTCGATTTTAAAGACGTGTGTTTTTCTCTCAGTCCTGAGGTGCCCCCCCTACAGTCACTACTCCCCGTGCGTGCCCGCCTGCCCGCCCCAGTGCGCCCCCGCCCGCGGGCAGAGGGACTGCAGTCACGACTGCGTGGAGGGCTGCCAGTGCGACCAGGGCTACGTGCTCAACGGCAAAAGCTGCATCCTGGCACAGAACTGCGGCTGCTACACTGACGGCAAGTACTTCGAGGTCAGTCTCCTCAAGGAAGCATCACCGGCACCACGGCAACGAAACATACACAGAATTATAATATTACAGAGCGGCAAACTCCATAATACAAGCATCAAGAATTTCCAGTCATTGCGCAAAACACACTGGGAAGGATCCTCCGAAAAAGTGAACATCAAACCTCCATGTTTGTTTTCCCAGTGGGATGAGTTTATTGACAAAGTCGATCTTTTCAAGTCTTTTGAACCATTTCACTTTTGTTTCTGGTTCTGATATTGTCATATTTTAGTTTTGGGATTCGGACGTCGTAATTGTTGTGGTTGTTGGATCCAAACAGCGGAAAACGACTCGAGAAATTTGTTTGTGAACTTCATAAATGTAAAAGTGAATCAGATGTGTGTGACTCAAACCTCTGTTCAAACTGTTTCTCTTCCCAACGGAATTGAAAAATAGTGAAAGGTGAAGGTGATGGGCAGGATTGATCCACAGGAAGAACCAAAAAGGAAACATTTGTCTGACTAAATCATCCTGAGTTTACAGAGAACATTTTGTATGTGGATCAAAGCGGAAATCCCGTTTGTTAATGTAGAGGAGCAGAAGACAAACAGACTGAGCTGCACTTTCTTGTTCTTGTGGTTTTACACAAACATCACGTCTTGGTCTTTGCAGTGGAAGGTGTTTCTTGGTGAACAGTTGGAGACTTTCACTTTGGTGTCGACTTTTTAAATTCATAACCGAGGTTAAACGAGGGATCAGGATTTTGTTTTGTCGTGGCTCCACATACAAAATGTTCTCAGGATGATTTCTTAGTCAGACAAATGTTTCCTTTTTGGTTCTTCCTGTGGATCAATCCTGCCCATCACCTTCACCTTTCACTATTTTTCAATTCCGTTGGGAAGAGAAACAGTTTGAACAGAGGTTTGAGTCACACACATCTGATTCACTTTTACATTTATGAAGTTCACAAACACATTCCTCGAGTCGTTTTCCACTGTTTGGATCCAACAACCACAACAGTTACGACGTCCCAATCCCAAAACTAAAATATGACAATATCAGAACCAGAAACAAAAGTGATATGGTTCAAAAGACTTGAAAAGATCGACTTTGTCAATAAACTCAAACATGGAGGTTTGATGCTCACTTTTTTGGAAAATCCGTCCTTGTATGAATTGCGCGATGACCGGAAGTCTGAGATTCGGGATGTGTGTATATCTCGTTATTTATCCAAAAATCCTACATCATTAGAACACGACTTAAAGCTCACAGAGTCACAGAGTTGGTTTGTTTGATGTAGGACCTTTAATAAAGTCAGTGTGATCCAGATTTGTGAATAATTCCTGCTTGTCTTTCGTGTGGTCGTGTTTCAGCCCAAACAGCTGTTCTGGAACTCGGACTGTACCAAGCGGTGCCAGTGCATCGGGCGCAACCTGGTCCAGTGCGACCCGCGGCGCTGCAAGTCCGAGGAGGAGTGCATCCTCCGTCACGGCGTCCGGGGCTGCTTCGCCAGGCGCTCGCAGCACTGCGTGGCGTCCGGCGGCGGCGTGTTCCGGACCTTCGACGGCGCGTCCCTCCGCCTGCCCGCCTCCTGCTCCTTCGTCCTGTCCACGAACTGCCACAAGCTCCCGGACCTGTCCTTCCAGCTCATCGCCAACTTCGACAAGTGGACCACGCCCAACCTGACCACCATCTCGCACGTCTACCTGTACATCAACGAGGAGAACATCCTCATATCCGGGAGCACGGTCAAGGTGAGCGGCGCCGACACTGTTCAACAGGCCCCGGGGTGTGACACTGTGTGAACTGGAGGCTCTACTTTGTCTGAGACTCGCTTAGACTTAAAAGGTTGTATAGAGGATTTTCCAAGGAACGAGAAATCCAGCGACTGTTTGTCCTTTTTCAAATGTTGCGCATGTGTGAAACCACCTCCCCTCCCCTACAGCTCCTACGTAGAAACACCTCCTCCCTCCTCCTCCTTACGCCACAAACAGGTTTGTTTACAGCCGCTGCACATGACTTGTAAACAACTAACTACAGTGTTGGTTAGACAAGACGGAGAAGTGAGGAAGGAGGGACGGGCAGGAGAGGAGCAGGAAAGGGGAGCAGAGAAGAGTGCGCGGAGATTCCGTGTGAATGAACTAACTACAACACGCAGCAGCAAGTGGACTCTTTCTTTGCCTTGAAAATGACGTTTTCAGACATAGGATATCGCTTTTGTGTCCTGAAAAACGTTTGTCTAACTCTTGGAAATAAAGTAGGTTTTCATAATCAGCAGAAGTTTCCTGTCCAGGAGTAATTTGTGGACCAGTGGTTCAGTCTTTAGACCCTTCGTCTGCTTCAGTCGCACCATCGCTGGAATGAATCTATAAGAATCACCTTAGTTTGGCTTCGCTGCTTTTCCCCTTGTCTTCTTCTTTCACCTCAAAAACGGACTTTCTTTTGCGGTGAACTGCTCCTGGATTCTTGTCGCCATCGCAACAAACTTTGTGTGAACTGCGAGGAAGATATAGGTCAAAAAAGCCTCTAAGAACTGTTGTGTTGGTGGAGTAAACAGCGTCTGTGCGTCTTGCGTCTGTGGACTGTGTGACAGTCGTACGTAAACCACGTACCGGCGGCGCAGGCAAGTCAGTTACACTAGAAACGTAGGGAGTTTGATTGACAGCCTGTCAGCTAACAGATAACGAGGCAGTGTCGTTATCAATTGGCAAATGTTTATCCCCACCACGTCCAGAGTTGATGAATTTTTATTCTCTTTTTTTTGGTCATCATAATTACAAGGCTGCTGCACCTTTATAATCTATCACTGACAATTTGAAACAAAACAAAAATCCTCCATACAACCTTTAATCTGATCTTTACTTTAACTCCATCAGCTGCGTTTTGAAGCGTGTGGGTCTGAGCTTCACTGCTTCACTCACACACAGTTCAGACACAGTTTCATCTGACAAGAAGAACGTTTGTGTGCATTTGTGACGTGTAGGCAGTGTTGGGGAGTAACAGATTACAAGTACCGGAGTAGTAATCAGAGTACAAATTATGAGTAAATGTATTCAGTTACAGTTACTGTTTCAGTGAGTGGTAATTGGATTACAGTTACTTTGGTTGAAATAAATGGATTATACAGAGGGATTTTCTCGGTAATTCCACTCATTGCCGGACACTAAACCAGGTCTAAACCAGGTCTAAAACCAGGTCTAAACCAGGACTAAACCAGGACTAAACCAAGACTAAACCAGGTCTAAAACCAGGTCTAAACCAGGACTAAAACCAGGACTAAACCAAGACTAAACCAGGACTAAACCAAGACTAAACCAGACTAAACCAGACTAAACCAGACTAAACCAGGATAAACCAGACTAAACCAGGACTAAACCAGATAAAAACCAGGTTAAACCAGTAAACCAGACTAAAACCAGGACTAAACCAAGTCTAAACCAGTCTAAACCAGGTCTAAACCAGGACTAAACCAGGTCTAAACTAAACCAGGTCTAAACCAAGACTAAACCAGGTCTAAACCAGGTCTAAACCAGGACTAAACCAGGACTAAACCAAGACTAAACCAGGTCTAAACCAGGTCTAAACCAAGACTAAACCAGGTCTAAACCAGGTCTAAACCAAGACTAAACCAAGGACTAAACCAGGACTAAACCAGGTCTAAACCAAGACTAAACCAGGACTAAACCAGGTCTAAACCAGGTCTAAACCAAGACTAAACCAGGTCTAAACCAGGTCTAAACCAAGACTAAACCAGGACTAAACCAGGTCTAAACCAGGTCTAAACCAGGACTAAACCAGGACTAAACCAAGACTAAACCAGGTCTAAACCAGGTCTAAACCAAGACTAAACCAGGACTAAACCAGGACTAAACCAAGGACTAAACCAGGACTAAACCAGGTCTAAACCAAGACTAAACCAGGACTAAACCAGGTCTAAACCAAGACTAAACCAGGACTAAACCAGGACTAAACCAAGACTAAACCAGGTCTAAAACCAGGTCTAAAACCAGGTCTAAACCAAGACTAAACCAGGACTAAACCAGGACTAAACCAGGTCTAAACCAAGACTAAACCAGGACTAAACCAAGACTAAACCAGGACTAAACCAGGACTAAACCAGGTCTAAACCAAGACTAAACCAGGTCTAAACCAGGACTAAACCAAAACTAAACCAAGGCTAAACCAAGACTAAAACAGGATTTAACAGGACTAAATCATGCTGCATGGACCGTGTCTCCTCGTTTTCTATCAATAATATTTTTAATCTGGGCTTTTTATTTTCTTTTAGCCGACAAAACTTCTTATGTTACGATTTCCTGGTCTCACAGCAAATCAAGTAATCCAAAGTATTCAGATTACATTACTCACTTTAAGTCATTTACTGGATTATGTTACAAACTACATTTTGGGGGATGTAATCTGTAATCTGTAATACCGTTCAGTCTGAAGTCGCATGTAAAAAGACCAGATATGTTTGGGTTTTAGGAGCACAGATCCAAGTGTCCGGGGTCACATTTGATCTGCGCCATTAAAAGATCAGATACAGGAACATAGGGGCCAAAAAAAAAAAAACAGATTTGGGTCACTTCAGGCTCCAGCAACGTAGCCATAGTAAGTAGAATAATAGAAAGAGCCAATCAGGAGCGAGGCTGTTCAAAGTGACGAATATCAGATTGGTTCAGATCCTGATTTAGGAACAAAACATTGAAATAAAAACCCCAGGATCATGTTGTGCAGGTTCAGACCGACACGTGAAGGTCAGAATGAGGAGCCACACTTTTCACACACAAAGTAACAGCTGTGATAGTAAAGTGACCAGATGAGATTGTTTTTTTGTGTGTTTTTTTTTTTTTTTTCTTTTGGAGCGGGACTCGCTGAATTTTCAAACACATTTTTATTCAAACATCAAGTCTTTCATTAATATTCCTGCCACAAGAAAAAAAACAACATTAAAAGCATGAAGTCAAAATGTCATGTTGAAAAAATAACAACGCCAATTAACCTGCACATGTGTTACTAGTTCTACCCTTAGAGCATCACTGCATAAAAGAAAACACACTTCCACCAGTGATTATAAATACATTTTACACTCATGAACTTAATTGTAACACAGACATATTTGTATCTCTGGAAACCTCAGACTCTGAACTCTTCATTTCTGGATGTTTAAATGTGATTCAACTCATTTACAGGTGTATAACAGCTCACTGAAAATGAGAGTTTACCTGGTCAGGTGCAAAATCAAAAACAAAAAACTACATTCAGCATTTGATATCTGCATGTTCTGAGTACTATATTCATTAAAAAAATTAAAAATATACTTTGTCAAAATATTTAAACAGATTTCATATCACCAGATACAGAACAGCCAAGTGTGCACCTGTTTTTACCATTTAGCTTATTCAACTCATTTAATTTATTCAACTCATTTAATTTATTCAACTCATTTATCTTATTATAATATAATAATATAATAATGCGACTGTCACACAGTCCACAGACGCAAGACAGACGCTGTTTACTCCACCAACGCAACAGTTCTTAGCGGCTTTTTTGACCTATATCTTCCTCGCAGTTCGCACAAAGTTTGTTGCGATGGCGACAAGAATCCAGGAGCAGTTCGCCGCAAAAGAAAGTCCGTTTTTGAGGTGAAAGAAGAAGACAAGGGGAAAAGCAGCGAAGCCAAACTAAGGTGATTCTTGTAGATTCATTCCAGCGATGGCGCGAACTGAAGCAGACGAAGGGTCTAAAGACTGAACCACTGGTCCACAAATTACTCCTGGACAGGAAACTTCTGCTTATTATGAAAACATACTTTATTTCCAAGAGCGAGACAAAACGTTTTTCAGGACACGAAAGCGATATCCTGTGTCTGAAAACGTAATTTTCAAGGCAAAGAAAGAGTCCGCTTGCTGCTGCGTGTTGTAGTTAGTTCATTCGCACTGAATCTCCGCGCACTCTTCTCTGCACCCCTTTCCTGCTCCCCTCCTGCTCCTCACTTCTCCGTCTTGTCTAACCAACACTGTAGTTAGTTGTTTACAAGTCATGTGCAGCGGCTGTAAACAAACCTGTTTGTGGCGTAAGGAGGAGGAGGGAGGAGGTGTTTCTACGTAGGAGCTGTAGGGGAGGGGAGGTGGTTTCACACATGCGCAACATTTGAAAAAGGACAAACAGTCGCTGGATTTCTCGTTCCTTGGAAAATCCTCTATACAACCTTTTAAATCAGGCAAATCTGACGCCTCTGAATACCTCAAATCAGATTTTATAGACATCCATATGAATATGCAAATAACATGTTGAACAGGTAACGCCTTGAATCTTCCTTGGAGTTTCTCTGCGTTTATTTAGGTTTAGGGGGTTGACATCAGCCGCCAAATGTAAATCACCAGTTTGTTTAGTTTCGCACCAGGACGAACCATCTCCACTGCTGCTGCTTTACAATGAATTTCCTTAAAAGGACACAGTCTATATCTGCAAAAGAATTACTTTAAAGGCAAACATGTTTCACACAGTGGTGCCTTTAAACATACATAAGATTTCAGTGGTTAAACAACTCAATGTGTAATAGTCAAACAAATATATAATTTCAGTGTTTAATATGCACATGTGATGCACTCAAGAAACTTCACCACTTGGTACAGCCTTCACTCCGCAGCCGTACACGTAGAGTTCTGTCCTAACAGATTTGCCGTGGCGCAGGTGAACGGGACCCCGGTGTCCGTGCCGTTCCTGACCGGCCTCATGACGCGCCTCACCACCTCCGAGGGCTTCATCGTCATCGACACGCCGCTGGACATCCAGGTCTGAGCAGCTCTGAAACGGAAAGGTTTTACTCTGCGCTCTGCTCTTTTTCACGTCCATTTTATTATCGTTATTTACGTTTTACATTTTTGTTCGTATTGTGATTTTAACGCTGCTCTGTGTAACTTTTCTGTCAAACGCTTTTCTCCGTGGAGATGTTCTTGCTTTGTCTGGAATGTTTCACAATTGTCACGTTTATATGAGAGCTTCAATTCTGAATAAAAATAATTTAATTCTGAAAAAAAAAAAAAAAATTACCACTGAAAAAAGTCCACGTAAACACTTAATTCCTAATGAAAATGATTATTCGGAATTCAACTTAATTCTGAAGTAAGTGTTTGGTTTATTCCGATTTCTTCCAGGATCATGTTTGTCGTTTTTTTCTCGTTAAAATGCTGCTGGTGCTTCGTGCTCGTCGTGTCGTCCTTCGATCCGGCTCCTCCAGTCGTGTCTCGGGATTTTCCTCCACGTCTCTTTGGATTTGTGAGCGGGATGCGGGAGTGGGCTGAGCTTTTGTCTTCTTCCTCTCTTCTCCGACGCTCTTCCCTCCTCCTCCTCCTCAGCTCACAGACGTAAATCGTGACGAGACGATTCTCCAGCCGCTGCTTCGTAATTATCATTTCAAAAAGTCTGGACGGTGTTTGTGTCCGTGGAGGAACGACAAACCCAGACGACAGTGTTTTTCCTACGGAAGCCGAGAGGGGTCGCGGCAAACGCAAACGCCGCAACAAATACAAATGCGACGACACGACAAAAAGCCACAACACACCAAAAAAAAAAAAAAAGCCACAACGGAAATGACCGCGGGACTCTATTTTAATGCAAACGTCGTGACAAATACAAAAGCCACAACACAAACGCAAATGCTGCAACACGTGAAAAAGCCACAACGGAAGTGACCGCGGGAAAAATTAAATTGGTTAAACATGGAGACATATTTGACCATTGAATAACCACTGTTTTAAAGCTTTAGAAAATGCTGCAGTGTTGAAAGTTCTCGTACATGAGCATCTCTGTGTTCCATGTTTGAGCAGCTCGATAAACAAAAGAAAGTTGTCCAAAGGTACTTTTCCTAAACGGCCCAGAGCGTCGCCTCTAGAGCTGCTCATTGTTGTGCCATTTGAATTTCTTTTCACAAACTCCTTTAGACGAGGTGGAGCAAGATGATTAAAAACTTTGTAAACCAGAATTAAATCTGCATATTTGATTGTGTTGTCCCAGTTTAGGAATTTGTATTTGTCAAGTTTTCTGCAACAGTGATCATTTGTGGGCTTTTTGTCTAATACTTAAAGTGATTTTTTATATATAGTTTCAGCTCATTTAAGAGGAGTTTTGTTTGTCAGAGTCCAAGTAGTAACACAATAATTGAGGTGTGGCAAAATCATTGAATTTAAATACATAAATGCCGAGTTGGTCGTTAGATTATTTCTTATATGACGGAAATTTGATAAATGATGTTTGATTTTATTCACTGTTCTTTTGACGTGTTGTTTGAACGATAGTCGTGGGTCCAGGGCGACTCCCAGATAACTTCACTTCACTTTCACGTTGTAGTTCTTCTTCTTCTTCACTCGCCGCTTGATCGGTCCGTCGGAAAATAGAGTCCCGCGGTCACTTCCGTTGTGGCTTTTTAATTGTGTTTGTTGGCTTTTTAATGTGTTGTGGCGTTTGTATTTGTTGCGGCGTTTGCATTCAAATAGAGTCCCGCAGTCATTTCCGTTGTGGCTTTTTTTGGTTTGTTGTGGCTTTTTTATGTGTTGTGGCTTTTTTATGTGTTGTGGCTTTTTTAATGTGTTGAGGCGTTTGCATTAAAATAGAGTCCCGTGGTCATTTCCATTGTGGCTTTTTTTTGGTTTGTTGTGGCTTTTTAATGTGTTGTGTGTTTTGTATTTGTTGCGGCGTTTGCATTCAAATAGAGTCCCGTCATTTCCGTGTGGCTTTTTTTTTGTTTGTGTTGGCTTTGTTTGTTTTGTGGTTTGCATTTTTGGTCATTTGTTGTGGCTTTTTTTGGGTGTGTTGTGGCTTTTTATGTGTTGTGTGTTTGTTTTTGTGTTGGCGTTTGCATTAAATAGAGTCCCGTGTCATTTCCGTTGTGGCTTTTTTGGTTGGTTTGTTGTGGCTTTTATGTGTTGTTTGTTTGTGGCTTTTTAATGTGTTGTATTTGTGTTGCGTTTGCGTTTGTTGAGGCGTTTGCATTAAAATAGAGTCCGCGGTCATTTCCGTTGTGGCTTTTTTTGGTTTGTTGTGGCTTTTTAATGTGTTGTGGCTTTTTTATGTGTTGTGGCTTTTTTATGTGTTGTGGCTTTTTAATGTGTTGTGGTTTTTTAATGTGTTGAGGCATTTGCATTAAAATAGAGTCCCGTGGTCATTTCCGTTGTGGCTTTTTTTTTTGGTTTGTTGTGGCTTTTTAATGTGTTGTCGCGTTTGTATTTGTTGCGGTGTTTGCATTAAAATAGAGTCCCGCAGTCATTTCCGTTGTGGCTTTTTTTGGTGTGTTGTGGCTTTTTAATGTGTTGTGGCTTTTTTATGTGTTGTTTTTTATGTGTGCTTTTATGTTTGTGTTTTTTTTGTGTTGAGGCGTTTGCATTAAATAGAGTCCCGTGGTCATTTCCGTTGTGGCTTTTTTTTTGGTTTGTTGTGGCTTTTTAATGTGTTGTCGCGTTTGTATTTGTTGCGGTGTTTGCATTAAAATAGAGTCCCGCGGTCATTTCCGTTGTGGCTTTTTAATGTGTTGTGGCTTTTTAATGTGTTGTGGCTTTTTAATGTTTGTGGCTTTTTTGTGTTTGTGACGTTTTTATTGTTGCGGCATTTGCATTAAAATAGAGTCCCGCGGTCATTCCGTTGTGGCTTTTTTATGTGTTGTGGCTTTTGTGTTGTCGTTTGTATTTGTTGCGGCGTTTGCGTTTGCCGTGACCCCTCTCGGCTTCCGTAGTTGTCGACGTAAATCCGTCGGTGTCTCTGTCCAGTCAGAACCTTCCCCACCCCCAGACGCTCAGACACATTAAATAAAAAAAACATTTAACCAGTTTTCCCTGTAAAACTCAATTCAGGATTATTATTTCCATAGAAACTCCAAGGAGAATATTTGAATTCCCAACTGTTTAATTCAGAATAAAAAAAAAAAAAAAAAAACATTATGTAAACATGTGGTATTAAACCTTTCTATCTTCATGGAGACCAAACCAGACCAAATTACAGGTCAGATCTGTGGAGAGAGTGTTTTTCTATGTATTTTTGAGCTATAAAACCACCTGCAATTGCATAAATGTGAAGTGGATCTGTTTAAAGTCACACTGCGGAACATTCCAGACAGAGCGGTGACGGGACTCCCATCGGAAACGTTCCACGGCTCATAAATCTCTAGAAAAACAAAGGTTCTGGCTGTGAGCGGGGTCGCCTCTCCACAGATCTGACCTGTAAAACCCGTCAGCACAAACTTTATCCACTTTTCTCACACAGGAAACTTACAAACCTTTTTACAGCCGCCTTAAAACGTCTCGCTGTTGTCGTCCAGGACTGAACCAGGACTAAACCAGGACTAAAACAGGACTGAACCAGGACTAAAACAGGACTAAAACAGGACTGAACCTAGGACTAAAACAGGACTGAACCAGGACTGGACTAAAACAGGACTAAACTGGACTAAAACAGGACTAAACAGGACTAAACTAGGACTAAACCAGGACTAAAACAGGACTAAACAGGACTGAACAGGACTAAACAGGACTAAACCAGGACTAAAACAGGACTGAACCAGGACTAAAAGGACAGGACTAAAACAGGACTAAACTAGGACTAAAACAGGACTAAACTAAAACTAGGACTGAACCAGGACTAAAACAGGACTGGACTAAACCAGGACTAAAACAGGACTGAACCAGGACTGACTAAACAGGACTAAAACTAGGACTAAACTAGGACTGAAACCACTAAAACAGGACTGAAACCAGGACTAAAACAGGACTGAACCAGGACTGAACTAGGACTAAACCAGGACTAAAACAGGACTAAACCAAGGACTAAAACAGGACTGAAACCAGGACTAAAACAGGACTAAAACAGAACCAGGACTGAACCAGGACTGAACAGGACTGAACCAGGACTGAAAAACCAGGACTAAAACAGGACTAAACCAGGACTAAACCAGGACTGACTAAAACAGGACTGAACTAGGACTAAAACAGGACTGAACCAGGACTAAAACAGGACTAAAACAGGACTGAACCAGGACTGACTAAAACAGGACTAAAACAGGACTGAACTAAAACAGGACTGAACTAAAAACAGGACTGAAAACAGGACTGAACCAGGACTAAAACAGGACTGAACCAGGACTGAACCAGGGACTAAAACAGGACTGAACCAGGACTAAAACAGGACTAAACAGGACTAACGGACTAAAACCAGGACTAAACAGGACTAAAACAGGACTAAACCAGGACTAAAACAGGACTAAAACAGGACTAAACAACTAGGACTGAACAGGACAGGACTAAACAGGACTGAAACCAGGACTAGGACTAAAACAGGACTGAAACAGGACTAAAACAGGACTAAAACAGGACTAAACAGGACTAAACCAGGACTAAACCAGGACTCAGCGTCGGGACGGGCAGGAGCTCACAGCTCCGCTCCTCACGCAGGTGAACGCGGCAGTTTCCCGATCGCGCTTTACGGACGCCGCTTTGCTCTGGGTTTTCTCTCTTACGTCCAAGATTAGTCCTGGTTTAGACCATGTTTAGTCCTGACCCACTCGTGTGTAATTACTACCCGCCCGTAATACGCAACACACATTCATATTCTGTAAAAAAAAAATAAATAAAGCCAGGACGACTGCGAAACATTCCAGACAAAACAATAACCATAAACTCCATGGAGAAAAGCGTTTGACGGAAGCGTTCTCCGTCAGAAAACGACACACTTTTAACGTCTGTCTTGCTCTGTGAAGCAGTGTGAGTGAGTTTGTGTTCGTTCTCTACACACACTGTTGCGTCTCCAGGTCCGGTACAACCGCTTCAACACCCTGAGCATCACCATGGGCCCCCGGCTGCACAACAAGGTCTGCGGACTCTGCGGGAACTTCAACGGAGACCCCCACGACGACTACATCACCTCCCGAGGAAAACCGGCCACCAGCGCCCTGGAGCTGGCCCAGAGCTGGAAGACCAACGGCATGCAGAACAGGTCCAAACACAAACTCGAGTCATACACGCACAGAGTTAACCCGCAAGAAGCCGCGCGTTACAAACAGAAAGTGAGCACTGGCGCAGTTCGGCTCCACGTTCTCTGGCTCCGGTTCAGTTTGTGTGTAAAAAGCCTGGTCCCTCTCTCTGTAACTGCTGCTGTCAGGATCCTCATAGAGCTTTTTCACCACGACCTGAAGAGCCCCACTTTAGAATCCGTGTGTCATTTGTTCACTCGTTTTTCAAAATAAAACCAAAAAGAAAAATAAAGAAAAAAACAACAATTTTCTTCATTATTTGTCCCCAAAACCAAAATGAAAAGAACAGATAACGATTTGTTTTTTCAGTTTTCCATTGCCGGACTGAACCAGGACCAAACCAGGTCTGGGACCAGACCAGGACTGAGACCAGGACTGAGACTGGGACCAGACCAGGACTGAAAACGGTTTAGTCCTGGTTCTGTCCTGCATCGCAGTTTAAGTCACGTAAACGGGAAACGGTCATTATCCGTTTTTCCATTTTTCATTTAAACACAAAATTAAAAAAAGAAAAAAAAAAAAAAGAATTGTTTTCTGATTTTTTCAGTTTGGTTTTGGAGACAAATAATGAAGAAAATAGTTGTTTTATATTGAAAAACGAATGAACGAATGATAAACGGATTATTTAGGGCTTACAGTTAATGTTTTTTAAGGCAAAATGTGTGAGTAAATGTGTGTGTAAATGTGTGTGTAAGTGTGTGAGTAAATGTGTGTGTAAATGTGTGTGTAAATGTGTGTGTAAATGTGTGAAGTGTGTGTGTGTAAATGTGTGTGTAAATGTGTGTGTAAATGTGTGTGTAAATGTGTGTGTAAGTGTGTGTTGTAAATGTGTGTGTAAATGTGTGTGTAAGTGTGTGTAAGTGTGTGTGTGTGTGTAAATGTGTGTGTAAAGTGTGTGTGTAAATGTGTGTGTAAATGTGTGTGTGAAATGTGTGTGTAAGTGTGTGTGTGTGTGTGTAAAAGTGTGTGTAAGTGTGTGTCGTATTCTCCAGCAGTTTCATAAATCTGCTCCATCACCAAACCTTCATCCAACAAACTCCACAAAGGAGAAACATTCTTCATGAACAATTATCAAGAGAAGAAAGACCAGAACTTAACTTAACATTTACACAGAAAAACATTAACAAGATGTTCCACAAACCTGCAGTGTGGGACAATTCGGGCTGTTGTGAAAAAGGTGAATTCTGACGTTCAGATGTTGGTCTGACTTGCCTCTAACGATCCTGCGGGTTTTTATTTCAACATTTTCAACATCGCTCAATTAAGATACGAACATTAATACCAGACAAATGACAAATGACAAATGACAAATGACAAATGACACTGACGTCTAATTGTCGGAGTAGCAGCATAAACATTATTTTTCAAGTGTCCCACTACTTCAACACTCAGCTTTTCCGACATGAACAATATTAATGCTACAGCCTGTTATACTCTGCGCTCCCATGTATCTTCAGATGCTTGGGCCGGTGCAAAGTTCTTGATCAGAGAAAAACTTGGACCACGGAGGAGATTAGACGGTGGGAAAATGTCCAAACTGAGCCAAAAAGAGCACAGGCCAGACTTCGGGAAAATATCTCATCTAAAACGGAGGCTGCGTGGGCCTTTGTGCTTCAGTCATTTCGTGTCAGAATAGTGATACTAAAAAGTCTAAACAGAGGAATGTCGTAATGAAGAGATGTCGGAACACACGGCGGAACCAATGAAAATCTGCTCTTTAAATCACTTCTGTATTTTTCCTTGAGTTCAGACGATCTTAAGCCTCTGTGTGTTTGTGTGTGTGTGTGTGTGTGTGTGTGTGTGTGTGTGTCTGTGTGTGTGCAGCTGTGACGAGATGCAGTACGTGGCTCTGGCTCAGTCGTGTGAGAACACCGCGGTGTTGGCGCTGCAGAGCGAAGGCGCCTGTCAGAAACTCACGGCGCTCAAAGGTTTCTTCCAGCCGTGCCACGGGCTGCTCGACCCGCGCCCCTTCTACCAGTCCTGCTACCTGGACGGCTGCTACAACCACCGCAAAGCCCAGGTGTGCGGCTCCCTGGCAGCGTACGCCGAGGCCTGCCGCGCCCTGGGCACCCTGTCCACCCGCTGGATCACCCAGGAGAACTGCTGTAAGGGACTAAAGTCGTCTGTCTCATGCCTCTGTTCATCAGGTTTATCCTGTCGCCAGAATCACCAAATAATCTCCACATCGTCCAATGAGATTCATTTGGTCGTCCGATATTCTATGTCAGGGGAGTCAAACTCAGTTTTGGTCCGGGGGTCGTATCCAACCGACTTTGATCCCAAAGTGTCCGCATCAGAAAACTCATGTCATATAAACCCCAAAAATAAAAATAAGTTCAAATATTGGTGCAGAGAAACACAAATCTATTACAGAAATCTTTCTAAATTGATGAACTCTTTCTTTTACAAAATATTCTAATATTATGAACAACCTGAAACTTTAAGAAAAATACAATTTCAACACAATAGTTGAACATGAACTTGTTTGCAAATAAGAATAAGTCAATTTCCTTGTAAAATCCTGCACTCGGCTCCACTTTTCTCATGTTGGACATTTTTCTGATGAGGGTGTCACGGTCAACAGTCAAAACGATCGTCCTTTAAGAGCGTTTGGAAAGAGACAAGTCTTCATTTGTGCTGCTCTGGTGGGAGGGGCCACGTACAGAGACGCTGGAGACGCTGCTGTGATAAACACCACAGAAAATTAACAAGATTTTAATAGAAAATATCATTAAAATATTTTAGTAGAAAATCAGCCGAGGGCCAGATTAAAGGTCTTGGAGGGCCGGATCTGGCCCCCGGGCCGTATGTTTGACACCTGTGTTCTGTGTTATTAGGTTCTTTTTTTCAGACCTGGAGTGTTATTTCATACCTGACAGTTTGTTCTGTTCACTAACGTCTTCCTCAGAGTCACGTGATGTTGCTGTGACGTGTCTGGTCAGATGATTTAAACAGGTTTTGTCTCTGTCTTCCTCTCGGTGGAGGCAGGACGACAGCGCCACCTGCAGTCCCACTTCCTCAGGACAGAATCCCAGGTGTGTGAGAGTAAAAAAGCCCCTCGTCCCGGTTTACAGTCCTGTGGGCACGTTTCCGTATTTCGATTGCTTCTTTAATCACAGGACTGTGAACCGGGACGAGGGGCTTTTTTACTCTCACACACCTGGGATTCTGTCCTGAGGAAGTGGGACTGCAGGTGGCGCTGTCGTCCTGCCTCCACCGGTAGGAAGACGGCGCCAAAACCTGTTTAAATCAGCTGATCAGACACGTCACAGCAACATCACGTGACTCTGAGGAAGACGTTAGTGAACAGAACAAACTGTCAGGTATGAAATAACACTCTGGTCTGAAAAAAAAGAACCTAATAACACAGAATCTCCACATCGACTCAGTAAATGAAGCTGGAGCTGGAGTTTTGCAACATCGTCGGTCTGCGGAAAATAAATGGGCGTTTCTTCCTCTAAACAGGGAACGCCTCCCGCCAAAGTCAACATCTGGTCTAATATAAATGTCAAAATAAAACCTGTTAGTATAGTCGAGTTTCAGCTGACGTCATTGTTATTAAAAGCCCGCGTTGCTGCTGGGAAATATTTTGGTCGGAGGCGAGAAACACGGTAGCGTCAAACACAGTGTGTAACCTCGCGTATTTATCCCTGATAATGGTAAATTCCTGCTGCATTATCGGACGCACAAATAGAAGCACGGAAGAAGGAAAATGTCTTTTTCGTATTCCGAGTGAAAAGAACCACTAACGGTGAATTAAACGACTTTCAAACATCCGCAGAGCAAACGTAGAAGATCCTAACAAACCGTGGACTCAACAAGTTCAACAACACATCCAGACTCTTGGAGGTTTTCATCTTTTCTGCTGTGAATGGCCCAGGAGTTTCCACCAAGTCATTGTGGATGTCGCCCAAGTGAATATTTGTCCAGGTAGTTGGAGATTCTGACCAGAAATTTGGTTTAATCCACCTTTTGTCGGAGTTGAAAAGGGTGATTTGTCGTCTGTCGATGCTTATGACCAATTTCTGGTCAAATGGTCTTGGGTCGTCTGCCGTTAGAGTGGATAAATAACCGGATCAATACCCTTTACGTGCTTTCTCGCTCCGTCCGTCATGTTCAGTTAGTGTTTCTTGCCGCCGACCAAAATAATTCCCAGCATGCAACGCGCGCTTTTGTCAACAATGAAACTGGCCTATTGAAGTAAGACTTGTACATGGACGTTAGTATTGATGCATCAAGAATCTCAGACTTCCGGTCATCGCACAATTCAGACCGGGAAGGATTTTCGGAAAAAGTGATCATCAAACCTCCATGTTTGTTTTCCCAGTGGGACGTGTCTGTTGTCAAAGTCGATCTTTTCGAGTATTTTGAACCATATCACTTTTGTTTCTGGTTCTGATATTGTCATATTTTAGTTTTGGGATTCGGACATTGTAATTGTTGTGGTTGTTGGATCCAAACAGCGGAAAACAACTCGAGAAATGTGTTTGTGAACTTCATAAATGCAAAAGTGAATCAGATGTGTGTGACTCAAACCTCTGTTCAAACTGTTTCTCTTCCCAACGGAATTGAAAAATAGTGAAAGGTGAAGGTGATGGGCAGGATTGATCCACAGGAAGAACCAAAAAGGAAACATTTGTCTGACTAAGAAATCATCCCGAGTTTACAGAGAACATTTTGTATGTGGAGCCACGACAAAACAAAATCCTGATCCCTCGTTCAACCTCGGTTATGAATTTAAAAAGTCGACGCCAAAGTGAAAGTCTCCAACTGTTCACCAAGAAACACCTTCCACTGCAAAGACCAAGACGTGATGTTTGTGTAAAACCACAAGAACAAGAAAGTGCAGCTCAGTCTGTTTGTCTTCTGCTCCTCTACATTAACAAACAGGATTTTGTTTTTGTCGTCGGCTCCACATACAAAATGTTCTCTGTAAACTCGGGATGATTTCTTAGTCAGACAAATGTTTCCTTTTTGGTTCTTCCTGTGGATCAATCCTGCCCATCACCTTCACCTTTCACTATTTTTCAATTCCGTTGGGAAGAGAAACAGTTTGAACAGAGGTTTGAGTCACACACATCTGATTCACTTTTGCATTTATGAAGTTCACAAACACATTTCTCGAGTCGTTTTCCGCTGTTTGGATCCAACAACCACAACAATTACGACGTCCGAATCCCAAAACTAAAATATGACAATATCAGAACCAGAAACAAAAGTGAAATGGTTCAAAAGACTTGAAAAGATCGACTTTGTCAATAGACTCATCCCACTGGGAAAACAAACATGGAGGTTTGATCCTCACTTTTTCAGAAAATCCTTCCCGGTCTGAATTGCGCAATGACCAGAAGTCTGAGATTCTTGATGCGTGTATTGAACGTCTCGTAGGTAGGGTTAGGGTTAGGGTTAGAGTTAGTGTAGAACTACAGTAATGTGGCCGATCATAACTAACGTCGAGGCTCCTGCCGCGCTGTCGTTAACAAACTTGTTAACTTGGTTCTTTAAACTTTTCCTGAGAAAAAGCAGAAAGCAGCAGTGCAAACTCTTTCTGACTGGTTCATTACACATGACAGAAACGTCCACGCTGCAGACCGACACGCCTCTGTTTTTGTGGTAACAGTCGGAGGTTTCTGTTTTATTTCTGTAAAACGTTCAGATCTGAGCTTCAGGGGGATGAAAAATTAACTCATTATTGGTTCGTTTTACAGTTTATTTTCTGCAGCTCAGGTTTTTTAATGATACTGCACTTTTAAAATGATTTACTTTTTATTATGTCAGTGGCAAAAAGCTTGAGGGCCAAGAAAAAACTGCCCTCAAGCTTTGAGTGACCTGGACCATAATCTTCTAAGCAGAACTTTTTATGGCAAGTTTTGGAAAATCTACCTCCATAAAATGAATATCAAATATTTTCAAGATCTTTTAATGATGTGAGCCCAGTCTGCGGCTCTCAAGAAAAGATCTGCCTTTATAACATAAATTCAAAAGTGCACACAAGTAGTTAATATTCATTTTATCGAGGTGGATTTTCAAAAACTTGCTTTAAAAAGTTTTGCTTAGAAGATTATGGTCCAGGCCGAGAAAAAAAATGCCCTCAAGTTTTAAAAGTACAGGATCATTAAAAAAAAACTGTGCTGCAGAAAATAAACAGTAAAATAAAACAATAATGAGTTAATTTTTCATTTCTCTGAAGCTCCGATCTGAACGTTTTATAGAAATAAAAAAAAAAATCCAGCTCCAGCTTCATTTCCTGAGTTGTTTTAGTGATTATGGTGACAGGCTTGAGTAAAATGAACCACAACACTCAATTTCCCATTTACTTTTCCCATTGACTTTCTGAAAAACGCATAAATTATAAATGTGAAAGCTCAGGGCGAGTCGGCTCTGTGGAACTGACCCCCACCAAACTAAAAACCTTCACTTTTATTTACAACAGAGTGACCAGATGTGTGTATTTACCCGGGACAGTCCCAGTTTTGAGTCGTGTGTCCATCAGATTTATCCAAAACCTGCGATTTGTCCCAATTTATACAAAAAAAGTCCATATTTTGACCAATCTGATCCCTGCCCAGAGTAAAGAGGAGGACAGATTGTCATTTGTTGAGTGAAAATACAGAAAATTGAGCTTGAAAATGATCGTAAGAAAAAAAAAAAAAAAAAAAAAGCACAATCAGAAGTCCCTGAGATTATGATTGACCCACAAACTAAGTTATGAAGCGTACGACGGAGTAAAAGGGTCAGATAAAAAAATAAAAGTCGTAATATTATGAGAATAAAGTCGTAGTCAAAATAAAGTGTTAATATCAGGAGAAAATCAGCTGCTCGTGGAGAATTTGGAGCATTTTGTAAAGGAGAAGAATCTGTGTATCGTTCGTTCATTCGACTAAACAAGGACTGAATCAGGACTAAACCAGGTCCGGAACCAAACCAGAAAGACCAGGACTGAGACCGGGACCAGACCAGGACTGAAAATGGTTTAGTCCAGGTTTAAGTCACGGAAATGGGAAATGGCGTTTCTGTGACTTTAAAATGCGACTGAACGGACTGAACCAGGACTGAACCACCATAAACCATTTTCAGTCCTGGTCTGGTCCCGGTCTCAGTCCCAGTCTCAGTCCTGGTCCTGTTCTCGGTCTCAATTCGGCTGATCTCAGTCCTTGTCTAGTCCCGGTCTAAGTCCTGGTCTCAGTCCCAGTCTGGTCTCGGACATCGTTTAGTCCTGGTTTAGTCTTGGTTTAGTCCTGGTTTAGTCCTGGTTTAGTCTTGGTTTAGTCCTGGTTTAGTCTTGGTTTAGTCCTGGTTTAGTCTTGGTTTAGTCCTGGTTTAGTCCTGGTTTTAGTCTTGGTTTAGTCTGGTTTAGTCCTGGTTTAGTTTGGTTTAGTCCTGGTTTAGTCTGGTTTAGTCTTGGTTTAGTCCTGGTTTAGTCCTGGTTTAGTCCTGGTTTAGTCCTGGTTTAGTTCTGGTTTAGTCCTGGTTTAGTCTTGTTTAGTCCTGGTTTAGTCCTGGTTTAGTCTTGGTTTAGTCCTGGTTTAGTCCTGGTTTAGTCTTGGTTTAGTCCTGGTTTAGTCTGGTTTAGTCTGGTTTAGTCCTGGTTTAGTCCTGGTTTAGTCCTGGTTTAGTCTGGTGTCCTGTTTTAGTCCTGGTTTAGTTCTGGTTTAGTCCTGGTTTTAGTCCTGGTTTAGTCCTGGTTTAGTCTGGTTTAGTTCTGGTTTAGTCCTGGTTTAGTCTGGTTTAGTCCTGGTTTAGTCTTGGTTTAGTCTGGTTTAGTCCTGGTTTAGTCCTGGTTTAGTCCTGGTTTAGTCTGGTTTAGTCTGGTTTAGTCTGGTTTAGTCCTGGTTTAGTCCTGGTTTAGTCTTGGTTTAGTCCTGTTTAGTAGTTTGGTTTAGTCCTGGTTTAGTCTTGGTTTAGTCTGGTTTAGTCTTGGTTTAGTCCTGGTTTAGTCCTGGTTTAGTCCTGGTTTTTGTCCTGGTTTAGTCTGGTTTAGTCTTAGTCCTGGTTTAGTCCTGGTTTAGTCCTGGTTTAGTCCTGGTTTAGTCCTGGTTCAGTCTGGAGGCGCAAATAATGAAGAAAATTGTTGTTCATTTTCTTATTTTTGGTTTTATATTGAAAAACAAGGTTCTTCTTCTGCCGCATTTTTCACTTTGACTTTGATTTTATTACGACTTCATTGTCGTAGCAACAGCATTTTTTATTTTTAATCTGACCCTTTTACTCCGTCGTAGAATGGAGAATTATTAACTCTGACGTGTTCTTTTTCACAATTTTACCGTAAATCTGGTCACTCTGTCTTTATTATGAATCTGTCAACATCTGCAAAGCTCCAAATGCTCCGTTCCACCTTGTGATGTCATCATGAAGCGGTGGTTTTCAAGTGAACAGCTCCTTTGCCAATCCGCGTGTCGTTCGTTCATTTGTTTTTCAAAATAAAACCTAAAATGACAAAAAGGAAAAAAAAAAAAAAACTTTCTTCATTATTTGTCTCCAAAACCAAAATGAAAAAACAGATAATGATTCGTCTTTTCAGTTTTCGATTTTGTGTTGGAAAAAAAAAATGAAAAAAAAAAAAATGGAAAAATGGGAAAAAAGATGCCGGAGTTTTGACTTTTGTTCAGTCCTGGTCTGGTCCTGGTCTCAGTCCTGGTCCTGTTACCAGTCTCCTGATCTCAGTCCTGGTCTCAGTCCTGGTCTCAGTCCTGGTCTCAGTCCTGGTCTCAGTCCTGGTCTCTCAATCTCCTGGTCTCAGTCTGGTCTCGGTCTTGGTCTCAGTCCTGGTCCTGTTCTGTCTCAATCCTGTCTCACTTCTGGTCTTGGTCTTGGTCTCAGTCTTGTCCTTTCTGGTCTCAGTCCTGGTCTCAGTTCTGGTCTGGTCCCAGTCTTAATCCTGGTCTCACTTCTGGTCTTGGTCTCAGTCCCGGTCCTGTTTCTGGTCTCGGTCTCGGTCTTGATCCTGGTCCTGGTCTTGTCCCGGTCTAAAATCGAAAACTGAAAAAACAAATCATCTGTTTTTACATTTTAGTTTTGGAGACAAATAACGAAGAAAATATTTTTGTTTTGTTTTGTTTTGGTTTGTTTTTTTAATTTTATTTTGAAAAACAAATGAACGAACGACACACAGATTTTTCCCTTTAGTTCAGTAAAGTTCGGGAGATTCCAGGTCTGAAATGATGCAGATGTTTGTAGTGAAGGTGTGTGGAGTTTAAAACCGCGGTGGAGCAGTAGTGTATGAGCACGCGGTGACATCACGAGGTGGTAGTGATGGGACCTGGCTGTGGGCGTGTCTTTAGCAGAATGGATCTACGACCCCTGCGCCGGCGAGAGCTGCACCAACTTCACCTGCGAACTGGAGAACGGAGGAGACCTGTGCGGCTGCCCCGAGCTGCCCACGCCCACCGGGAGTACGACTACTACTACTACTACTACTACTACTACTGCAAATACTACTACTACTACTACTACTGCTACAAATACTACTAATACTACTACTGCAAATACTACTACTAATACTACTAATACTAATACTACTGCTCTGTGCGGCTGCCCCGAGCTGCCCACGCCCACCGGGAGTACGACTACTACTACTACTGCAAATACTACTACTACTACTACTACTACTACTACTACTGCTACAAATACTACTAATACTACTACTGCAAATACTACTACTAATACTACTAATACTAATACTACTGCTCTGTGCGGCTGCCCCGAGCTGCCCACGCCCACCGGGAGTACGACTACTACTACTACTACTGCTACTACTACTACTACTACTACTGCTACTACTACTACTGCTACTACTACTAAATACTACTACTACTACTACTGCAAATACTACTACTATACTGCTACTACTACTACTACTACTACTACTACTACTACTACTACTACTACTAAATACTACTACTACTACTACTGCAACTACTACTACTACTACTACTGCTACAAATACTACTAATACTACTACTGCAAATACTACTACTACTACTACTACTACTGCAAATACTACTGCTACTACTACTACTGCACTACTACTACTGCTACTACTACTACTACTACTACTACTACTACTACTGCAAATACTACTACTACTACTACTACTGCAAATACTACTACCTACTACTACTACTACTACTACTACTACTACTACTGCTACTACTACTACTACTGCAAATACTACTACTAACTGCTACTACTGCTACTAATACTAACTAATACTACTGCTCTGTGCGGCTGCCCCGAGCTGCCCACGCCCACCGGGAGTACGACTACTTCTACTACTACTACTACTGCTACTACTACTACTACTACTACTACTACTACTACTACTACTACTACTACTACTACTACTACTACTACTACTACTGCACTACTACTACTACTACTGCAAATACTACTACTACTGCTACTACTGCTACAAATACTACTAATACTACTGCTCTGTGCGGCTGCCCCGAGCTGCCCACGCCCACCGGGAGTACGACTACTACTACTACTACAACTACTACTACTACTACTTACTACTACTACTACTACTACTACTACTACTACTACTACTACTACTACTACTACTACTACTGCTACTACTGCTAATACTACTACTACTACTACTACTGCTACTACTACTACTACTACTACTGCAAATACTACTACTACTACTACTACTGCTACTACTACTACTACTACTACTACTACTACTACTACTACTGCTATTATTACTACTACTACTAATACTACTACTACTACTACTACTGCAACTACTACTACTACTACTACTGGCAAAATACTACTACTAATACTAACTACTACTGCTCTGTGCGGCTGCCCCGAGCTGCCCACGCCCACCGGGAGTACGAGTACTTCTACTACTGCAAATACTACTACTACTACTACTACTACTACTACTACTACTACTACTACTACTACTACTACTACTACTACTACTACTACTACTGCTACTACTGCTAATACTACTACTACTACTACTGCAAATACTACTACTACTACTACTGCAAATACTACTACTACTACTACTACTACTACTACTACTACTACTACTACTACTGCAAATACTACTACTACTACTACTGCTGCTACTACTACTACTGCTACTACTACTACTGCAAATACTACTACTACTACTACTGCTACTACTACTACAAATACTACTACTACTACTATTGCAAATACTACTACTACTACTACTACTGCTACTACTACTACTGCAAATACTACTACTACTACTACTACTACTGCAAATACTACTACTAATACTACTACTAATACTAATACTACTCCTCTGTGCGGCTGCCCCGAGCTGCCCACGCCCACCGGGAGTACGACTACTTCTACTACTACTACTACTACTACTACTACTACTACTACTACTACTACTACTACTACTACTACTACTACTACGCTAACTACTACTACTACTACTACTAGCTACTACTACTACTACTACTACTGCTACTACTACGCTACTACTACTACTACTACTACTACTAACTACTACTACTACTACTACTACTACTAACTACTACTACTACTACTACTGCTACTACTACTACTACTACTACTACTACTACTACTACTACTACTACTACTACTACTACTGCAAATACTACTACTACTACTACTACTACTACTACTACTATACTACTACTACTACTACTACTTACTACCTACTACTAACTACTATACTACTAATACTAATACTACTACTACTGTGCTACTGCACTACCGGGAGTACGACTACTTCTACTACTACTACTACTACTACTAACTACTGCTACTAATATACTACTACTACTACTACTACTACTAACTACTACTACTACTACTACTACTACTACTACTACTGCAAATACTACTACTACTACTACTACTACTACTACTACTACTGGCTACTACTGCTACTAACTACTACTACTACTGCTACTACTACTACAAATACTACTAATACTACTACTGCAAATACTACTAATACTACTACTACTGCTACTACTACTACTACTACTACTACTACTACTGCTACTACTACTACTACTGCAAATACTACTACTACTGCTACTACTGCTACAAATACTACTAATACTACTGCTCTGTGCGGCTGCCCCTAGCTGCCCACGCCCACCGGGAGTATGAGTACTTCTACTACTACTGCAAATACTACTACTACTGCTACAAATACTACTACTACTACTACTGCAAAAACTACTACTACTACTACTACTGCAAATACTACTGCTACTACTACTACTACTGCTACTGCAACTACATGTACTACTAATACTACTACTACTACTACTGCTACTACTGCAAATACTACTACTGCTACAACTGCAATTACTATTGCTACTACTACTGAAAAAAATCAGCTCAAGTAAAAGTTTTAAAGTTTCTGTTTAAAAATGTACTTATAGAGTAAAAGTAAAAGTATTTTGATCTAATAAAACTTCACATGTGGTGATTTTGGTAAAAACAGAAACAACTGAGGCACTTGGTTTTTCCCAAATGTTTTTATTTGTATTTTTGTGTTGCTCAAACTACAAATGTGTTAAAATAAACCCTCAGCCTTTTCAGCCTCACACGATCTTCAAAAATACTTTTACTTTTCAGTCCTGTTCTGAAATGTAGTGGAGTAGAAAGTACAAATACTTTCTCTCAAATGTAGTGAAGTAAAAGTAAAATATATCTATATATATATATATATATATATATATATAATATCTACTCAGTTCTGCCTTAGTAAAGTACAGATACCTACAGTTTGTCCTTAAGTATTTTAGTACTTTTACTTGTTACGTTGCGTCAGTGTCAGATCTAACCGTCCGTTCGTGCGTCAGGTGAGGACGACATCATCCAGGCGGAGGTCACCTGTAAACACGCCCAGATGGAAGTGTCCATCTCCAAGTGTAAACTCTTCCAGCTGGGCTTCGAGCGCGAGGACGTCCGGGTGAACGACCAGCACTGCGCCGGCGTCGAGGGAGAGGACTTCATCTCCTTCCACATCAACAACACCAAGGGCCACTGCGGATCCATCGTACAGGTACTCGCGCTCCTCACACGACCAGCAGGGGGCGACTGCACGACCTCACACGACCTGCAGGGGGCGACCACACAACCTCACACGACCTGCAGGGGGCGACCGCACGACCTCACACGACCTGCAGGGGGCGACCACACACACGACCTGCACACGACCACACAACCACGACGACCAGCAGGGGCACCACCACACGATCCTGCACGACCACACAACCTCACACGACCAGCAGGGGGCGACGCACGACCACACGACCTGCAGGGGCGACCGCACGACCTTCACACGACCAGCAGGGGGCGACCGCACATCCTCACACGACCAGCAGGGGGCGACCGCACGACCTCACACGACCTGCAGGGGGGCACCGCACGACCTCACACGACCTGCAGGGGGCGACGCACACCACACGACTGCAGGGGCGACCACACACGACCTGCAGGGGGCGACCACACGACCACACGACCTGCAGGGGGCGACCACACACACGACCTGCAGGGGGCGACCACACACGACCTGCAGGGGGCGACACACGACCTCACGACCTGCAGGGGGCGACCACACACCTCACACGACCTGCAGGGGGCGACCACACACACGACCTGCAGGGGGCGACCACACACACGACCTGCAGGGGGCGACTGCACACTGGAGCAGGGAGGGACATGACCCACAGCGCTCAGTTCCAGATGAATCGCTCTTGTGTGTTCTCATGTGTTCTCATGTGTTCTCATGTGTTCTCCTTGTGTTCTCTTTGTGTTCTCATGTGTTCTCCTTGTGTTCTCTTTGTGTTCTCATGTGTTCTACTTGTGTTCTCCTCTTGTGTTCTCTTGTGTTCTCCTGTGTTCTCTTGTGTTTCTCTTGTGTTCTCCTTGTGTTCTCTTTGTGTTCTCCTTGGTGTTCTCCTCCTTGTGTTCTC